AGTTAGTACTATGCTCACTAAATTCCTCAATCGCTCGGTTGTGAGCAATGGTATGTGGGGTGTTCTAGTTACGCTCGCTGAACTCTTCGATCGCTCGGTTGTGGTTCATGGTACGAGGGAGGTCCAGTTACGCTCAATGAACTCTTTGATCGCTTGGTTGTGGTTCGTGGTATGAGGGAGGTCCAGTTACGCTTGATGAACTCTTTGATCGCTCATTTGTGAGCAATGGTATGTGGGGCGGTCCATTTACGCTCGCTGAATTCGTCGATCTCTTGCTTGTGAGATGGTGAGATGGTAGGTGGGATCCCAGTCCAGTCACATTTGAACTAGCTGACTTGTTCGTGTTTCATTGCAGAGGTTCTCAGCGGAGTTTGAATTTGCTCTTACTCTCATCGTGCATGTTGCCTCCCTTCACCCGACAACATGGCCTCTGTTACAGTGGCCCCACTCATTTTCCCATCATCACGCTTCCCTGAACTATTCTTGTTATCTTTGACTGCTTATCAACATGCGCTGCATGAACATTCCAGATACTTCCGTCTATTCCTGTTATCTCTGACTGCTTATCAACATGCGCTGCATGAACATTCCAGATAGTTCTTTGATGTTCTTCCTGACTCCTTTTACTTCCAAAGTCGGCTTGGTCCGTGCCTCTTTTGTTCCCTATAAATACTGCGATAGTTGTACTTGTATTTTTTTAACTTGAATCTACTTGGTTCTCTCTGATACTTGATCATCTTCTGAGGAAGATACTTGATTCCAATCTAGCTCTTATAGAGACTAGCCTATACTCGAACTTCACTTAGAGGGAGAGCCCCTCAAGTGTCTGAACTGAACGTCGTAACACGAAGAACTCCTTTATTGGATTAGTTACGCAAGAACTATCCAAGTCGTAACAGCCTCAAGGACGCCACACGACAATTTATCCCATGAAAATTGTCAAGTGGTTACACTTTTTGGTTGGCTGGGACACCTATCCAGGTCCATTTCCTATCTTCCCACCTCGCTGTGCCCTTCGCTTCTCTATTCGGCAGCAAGCCCACAACCACACCCCAACAATCGACGCTACCCTCCCGCCCATGCGGGCACAATTACCCCCTGCAGAGGATCATCCCACACTCATCAGCACATTCAGTATTTCCCGTGTGGTACACTATCTGGAGGTGGTACTTGAACTGGGTCGACAACAAGAATGTGTGTCCGTCCCCCTATCTTATCCTCGTGTGTTTTCCATGCCCCTTACTGACATTGACATGTTTGTGTAGGTCGTAGCCAAGTGCGGTGAACAGCAGCACCACTCGTTTGCTGTAAGTTGTTACAGATCTTGTTGGTGTCCGCTCACAAAGCCTGCTCTAGGACAAACTTCGAGAAGATAGTCTGGAGCCTTCACAGTATCACGTGCGAGGGTCTTCGCTGTCGTTTTGCGTTTGGTATCACAATCGTGGACACGCAATTGAGACTGGCTAAGCAATTGTGCATTTCGAGGTATGCAAACATATCATGCTGTGTGTCAGGGTGCTAAGTTCCAGGCTATACTGTCCAAATTATGCATAACCATGTCTGGTTAGAAACTACACCATTATGCATGGTTGTCTCTAGTCCTCGAGGCTCGAGCCATTATGCATGATGGATTCCCACAATGCATAATGCCGCCGGTAGGTTTCTCTTAGCTCAGTCACCCTCTTTTGTGATTTTCGTACCTAATACAGCTAATGCTTCCTGCTTCCTGCTTCCTGCTTCCTGCTTCCTTGCTTCGTGCTTCGTGCTTCGTGCTTCGTGCTTCGTGCTTCGTGCTTCTTGCCCGCTTCTCCCGCTCTCCCGCCCTCCATTTCCCTTACCAGCTCCACGCTGGACCTACCACTGCCCTTGTACCGCACTGGACCTACCGCTGCCCTTCTACCGCACTGGACCTACTGTTTCCCTTGTGCCCTTGCTACAATTACATTTTGCTGCCCTCCTCGAACATTAGACACTTGCAGAACACCTGCCACTAGTACCCCTGCACCCACCACAGTCATCTGACTGACCTAGAAAGTTGTAGCGCTCAGCTTTCACCACATAGCTAAATCAACCTTTGGAGTGCTTTTGAGCACTCTCAGAATGTCCTGGCGCATCTTGAGGTAAGTGTGTTGCTACTGTCGTTTGACCCATCCCATCATCCTTTCGTGTCTTCATCATTGTTGCAGCCGCAAATCACGACAACCAAGCTAACCTTATATTTCGCATAAACCTTCTGAAACTTCTGCATTTCTGTCCTGTGCATATCGACGGACTCATCCCCGTCCACGTAAAAAATCAACAAGCAAGGTTCGAAACCAACCCCTCCTTTGGACCGTTTCGCGGGGGGATTGGGTGCAGTCACGCGCTGGAACACTGGCATGTAGTGATGCCTACGCATGACTACCGTTGATCTGACCCATGCGCCGTTAATGATGCCTGCAATGTTGCAAACATTCATGGGCACTGGGATAGCAGAGTCACAGACAATCACGTTTTGCGGGTGGTTGCTTGTCTCTTTCATGGTCATCACATGCCCATTCGACATCACAGACACCGTTCTCATTGGGTAAGCGACACCGCTTGGTAAGTTCGCAGAGGGTGATGATCCTACCCTTTCGCAGATGATCCCGAAGGTTCGAACAGGTTCAGAACTTGGACCGGAACTCTGAGTACGAGGACTAGATTGATGTCACATACATGTATATAGCTAGTTTTCAACAATTTTTAAATATGTTAACGACACACGCGTGAAATATATTGTAGTTGGATTCATCAGAGGCTTTATGTATTAATGTAGCGGTTAAATTTGTTTAAAATCATGAACATCGAAAGTGTCCCGAAGTGGTGGCTGTGACTGGGAGTTTCGTCTATGTATAGTAACTACTAACTTGCCATCTCGTTCAACTCGATGATCAATGTTCAACCAGCTTTATAATGTTCCAAGTCTTTTTCTGTTACATCGACTTCCCAACTTCACATGGATAGACCAAACTTTATGTGATCCTTCAAGGTCAACACAGGTGTCAAAATCAATTCCTTTGCTGCCGCTGCATGCTGTCTCGGTCTGGAAGCCATGAGTCCCATGACCAGTATCTCCGAGTCTGCTAGCAAGTACTATTCAAAGCACCGTCGGTGAGGTCTTATCATCTGCTGTGGCCTAACATTGATAGTGATTTCGATGGATGTCAAACTACTGGCAGCTGGTTGAGTTTGCCTGCCGAACGGAAGGGTGAGCAATTCACCTGATTCAATGTGCGTGCGTTTGGCAACCCCTCTATTCATGTACTTCCTAATCCCTGTGCATTGCGCAGCATTTCGTTTCAACCATAGTCCAGGCCCTATGCAATTGTGTGTGCTGTAGAGCAGCTCAGCGATTAGCGCTCATTCTGACATACCCTGTCTTGGAACAACATTTGCAAGGATGGAAAAGACACAGGCAGCGATGGAAGGGTTGACGTCTAGACTGAGATGCTCGAGGATGGTGCCGATTTTCCGTATTTCTTTCCCACTGTCATGCCTGCTACTGACAACACATGAAAACTGATAACTAGAGGGCAACAGATTACTTCATGTCTCTCCTTTGATCTCCTGCTTGTCTTCTTCCCTTGTCCTGCACTCGTCCATCCTCTGCACTCTCGTCCATCCTCCGCACTCGTCCATCTTCCGCACTCGTCTGAGCCACGTCAGCAGTTGCTGATGTGCACTGGGCGTTTGCGCATGGTGTTCGTGGTGTTGGGAATGGCATGGTGTACGTGGTGTATGTGGTGGCCATTGTCGATGCAACACCTCGAGATTGCAGTCGAACCCGGTTCGAACACGAACCGGACCTCCCAAACACATTCAGATGTGTTTGGTCCAGAGTTCGACTAACAGCTAACCCTGAACCTATCCTACCTGGTAGTAAGAAAACAGCGTGCAGTTCCCACAAGGAGCTCGTCCCCAGCAGTGGTGGTGCCCTAAATAGGATTATCAACATTGTTCACAAGGCTTCTTTTTTCGTCCGTGTTGGTAGCTATATATAATCATTGAATCGGGCACCGAGATCGCGATTTTAGAAGGATGTAGCCAGGAACACAGTAAGAGAAGATCCAACGTGTCATATATGACAGCCGAGGGCATTATGCATTGTGAGAACAACTACTATACATACATGTACAGTCGAGGGGATTATGCATAATGTCAAAGACTACAGGTAGCCATGCATAACGGCCTGTGTCTAATCAGCCATAATTATGCATAACCCGGTCAAGTACAGGTGTAAGTTCTAACAGGCATGGTACATCTAGAACAACGATGGTGTTATCTCGCTCTTTTACGCTCTTCGATCTGTGTCTGCGTCTTCTACTATGAAAGAGCTCAGATGGGACCCCCACTGTCAAGCGGATCCGTGTTGGGGAGGGTTTCCAATACAACTTCACTATCAGGGACGAAGTGTTCACCATGACACGTGAAATTGCAACCTATGGCGCAGACTCTATGGTTGGGCGTGGAACTCGCGTGTACGAAGCTACGGACGCTGAGGGAAAGAAAGTTGCCGTCAAAGATTCATGAAGAGAAGCTGGACGTCAATCATTTCTGCAAACATGCCACCTTTCCCCCCTAGTATGTTTAGCTAGCTTCTGACTTTTCATTGCCACGAGTCTCCTGAGTTTCCCTTATTACATTTCCTACTTGGACGCCCCCTTTTTCAATCAACAGCTTGTGCTTTTTTTGCTTTTTTCAAGTTAAATAAGTGTGAAAAAAGCGAAAATCCAGATATTGCGTGGGCTTAATTAAGTGACTCACACTTTTTCACTCAAATGACTTATCAGTCACTTTTCGCGTAAAAAGTGACAAATAAGCAAGTTGTTGTTTTCCTGATGTAACTTATGAGTACTTAACACTGCAAGATTGATTGCGTGATGATATCACAGCTCAGTCAGTTACATTTCAATCTCACTCAACCATTCGTCTCGTCACATCCGTCTTCGAACATTCTAACGAGACTCCTGTTTAGTATCTTACAGCTCCATGATAACTCTCTGCAGGAACCATTCCTTGGACGTTGAGTCGGATAGGATGATGGGCACCTTCACCTGACCCATCGAAATGTTCGTCTTGTCGCATTTCTGCCTGCGGTATTCTGTGAACGTGCCTTTCTTCACGAGACGGATGGTTGGCTTTCTTGCTCTGCCTTGCCAAAAAGCAACACGAAACTCATTGTTTGCCATGAGGTCTTCAAAAGTTTGCTCTATTGCCATTTTCGCGTCTTCTCCTGTGAATATCAATTAGCGCAGTCGCACGGAAGAGTTCCTAAGCAAATACGAACCAACTTCCCCTCCAATTTCTACCAAGTACCCATAAGTAATAGGGGTGTCTCGTTCGTCGCCCACAATAGTAAAATCTATTATTTGGCCGATCGATCGTTTAGAGGCAGAGACGATCGCATTCGTCAATTGCGACTCAGTACATGCTGTCACTCCGAATGCCATCTCAAGTCCACCACTTCGAAAGCGGGCGAAATTACTTCAGCGTCTACGCATAAAATATTGATAAAATCGCGACTCACTTTCGCCTATGGAGGTAATTGATGACAGGTAATCCATCATCTGGCGCAAAGCCTTTAACGGTGACCACATCGCCAATGCGGTATCTCCACAAGCCACTGCGGGTCGTCAAAACTGGCTCGTAATGCCCTCCACCCACAAGTTCCCACTATGGTAGGGATGAGCGGATAAAGCTGGGAGGCAGCAAACGCTTCTTACAGCAGATAATACACGCTCGAAAGGCTCGTCGGAATGCACGTCCAGAAACTCGATTACCCCGTCTACGGGTAGTACCTTGAAGTCAGTATTAGGGTCGCCGTTGTAATACGGCAGGCCGATAAAGCATTCTGAGCTGCCATAACAAGGAGCCTGCATGGTAACAGAAGGTCCGAGGACGTGAGTAACCTTGTGTCGCTGTCAGCTGGGCAGTAAACCTTCACATTTAACGTGCCTTTGGGACGGATGCAGCAGAAGAACCTCCAGTGATCCCAATGAACATCTTCAAGTCAGGCCATACACGGACAGCCCAGCCCTGGATGCCAGGAGGCCCAATTTCGCGAAGTTCGGCAGCACGAAGAGGGTTTGCAGTAAAATGTTTCTAAGAGAAATCGTGAGTTGAATGGAATATAACAATCAAACGCATATAATACCTCTAAAGATTCTCGCACATGGTCCACGTTTTCCATGTCTGGGATGATCCCTTTCTCAATACAGTCGACAAGGAGGGGCCACTCTTCCTCTACGTACTGCAAAAAGTTGACGAATACACTGGCAAAGAGGAAGCGGATGGTTGCCACCCGACGATCTGACAGTGCAAACAGTGCATTCAGAATAAAGAAAGCGCGATAGCTCTTAACCAAGGATATCGCGAATGGATCCGTTTTTCCCGGAACTGAAAGTTGCCTAGAGATCAGCATGCACGAGGGAAAGCAGAGTGATGGACTTACCCCACAAGTCAATTCTATCCTTATCGTGCTCGACTTCCCAGTTCATTTGCATTCGCTGAAAACCGACGGTCACCGCGCAGACCGGTAACACCTTGGAACTCTGACCATCCTCACACTCTACTGTCAGGACTTGCCACAAACCCAACGAAGATGGTGATAAGGTGCTACCCTCTGAATGGGGAAACGAGAGATAAAGAGGGTGATGCAAAAGGTGCGGAGCGGGCCGATATGTTGGGAATGTCTTTGCGGATTTACCAGATGTCATGCTGGAAACGGCTAAGCAGTAGGGTAATCCTGGGGCGAACATGTTCTTTACGTCGGATTCCTTGCAAGGGGTCGCGAAAAACTTTGCTATGTATGGCCTGTAAGGCTCGTAGTTTGTGGTGGGAACGAATTCTCGGAAGTTCCGTAGGAAATCCATATCGTCCTTTGCATCACTGTGTGTGATGGCTTCGCGGAAATTTTCCAACTCGGGGGCATGCTGAGCAAACTGAGACGCAGAATTCGGCCGTATCATTCCAAGCAGGGCTTGGTCCAGTAGATCCTTGAGCCGCTCAGAGAGTTCAGCGGACAAGGAGTGCAGGAGGTCTGTGTCAGGAGGAGACATTGATGTAATATAGTGTGGTGTTGGATTGCGACATTATATAGTGTGAGTGACTTGTATGACCGATAAGATTGGCCTGCGACACCTAGTGCATGAGAGTGTTTTCAGGACACGCTGCGTACCTCTTAGCACGGCCCGTTCGAGCCCAAAGTTTTGTGTTGTGCTGGCGGCCTGGACTCTCGCGACCGATGATATCAAAAAGTGGTCACTTACCATGTTTTACCTGAGAACCCTGGCAGGTCGTTTCACCAGTACCAAATGTAGATGATATAATGATATCCACTATGCATTTTCTGTAAACGGTGTAAGGACGACTCGGCCATTGATATCGTGTACACCACGTATCGGATTACTCGTCGGCACCGATAAATAAAGGCACCCTCTGCTTATAGAAACAGCGCGCGACGCACTTCCTAGAAAAGAACTCCATTGTGAGCGGCTAAATCATAAAGACTATCTATACAGCACATACGAGCCAAGTTTCTGTCTCACATAGGGCATTACCCCAACGGACAATGAATATTCAAAAAATAGCAGCTAAATTAATTCCCATGGAGGTGTTTGCTGATGACCAAGCGCGTGATCTACGAGGATTCTGCGTGTCACTGCCTTAACTTGAAGACAAATACATTTTGATGCGACATTTGCAAAAGGTGGTTTGCGCGAACATCAATAGGGCCTATGATGGATGACAAGGATAAGACTCACTCATATCTAGGTCGCCCATTGGTTGGTAGACGTGTAAGAAGGAAGACGTTCAAAGATCAACTTGTGCTCATCGAATTGCAATGTGTCCATGGGGATCTGCGAATGTCACGGTATTTACTTGGGGATTGGTACGGAGGGACAACACATTTTAAGCAATAAAACAAAAAGAGACACTGATCACGTACAAATCGCAGATTATATTCTCATAGAAACGCAGTATTGATGGGATTTTAACTCCATGAGCAAACCTGCAATCGATCATGACCCAGCACTGAACATGCTGCCACATGTACAGGCTGCCACGCGATTTTATTCGTCGCGAGACTCGGACGTCTGGATGAATTGAGCGTCAGCCAGCTTGTCACAAGAGTGCCCCCAGTGTGTTCCTCCTGCAAGTGGGTTGAGAGCTTTGGCAGCCAGATATTTCTCTGTTTCACTTTAGTCGTGCCAGTTCCTGCATCAGAGTTGGCCAAGAGCTTAGCGTGGGTCACCAAGCACAAACTCATCTGCACATAGAAGACAGTCTGAAGAGCGCCATCATAAATATCGATCGGGCTCCCATGGAAGATGCACAGATGAGACCTAGTATAGAACAGTGTTCAGATGCAGGCGTACCAATTTGGAGGGAGTGAGCTAGCACATCACTAGTCTCCTCGAAAGACAGTCGTTCCTTCTTTATTAGTAGCACTGTGACGTTGCAGAACTTCACCTTGCGGAACGTAGGAGTCTGGACTCTGGAGACGAACTCGGAGTTGGATTTAACCGCAATGTCGTACAAACATGGACAAGCAACGCGGTCAGGAACTATTTTTATTCGTCAGTACTATCGTTGGGCCAGAGTTGCAAAATCTGAGGACCTCATTTTCATATCTCATTGTTTACTACACATTAAGATAAGAAAATTATGTTGAACTGTAGCTACATGTGCCATGAGGGAGCTCCAGTTAACAGAAGAACAAAATGAGTTCAAATGACGCTGCCAGAAGGCTGCCGACTCAAAATTAGTGATGTGCATGGCCCGGCTTCAAGCCGTGGGCCGAGCCAAGCCGGGCCAAATTAGGCCGGGCCAAGCCAGGCCAAACTGACGGCCTGACCAGGGCTTTGGCCCGGCTTGGAATTCTGAAAAGCCAAAGCCGACGGCCTGAGCCGCGGCTCCTAGCCTCTACCATCGACAACGACAATGAACATTTTGACACCAAATTTTGGTATATAATTTAGTTCGTAATAAGTTATAACACATGCTGAACTTCGAAACAAACAAACGAGGACCAACACACACAACTTACAAGTCGGTCTGTGCTTCAACCAATTCAGCTCTTGTGATCCGCGTGGTCAATACAACTCAACGTCACATTACAATTACTAATTACTGCTTGCGCCAGTCTTACCTTGATAGTTTTTTCAACGTTGGCGCGCAAATTCGGAATGGTCTGCTTGGCTAGGTCGAACAGACTCGTGCCAAATTGAATCAAGTTGAACAACCCCAGCGGGGCCCGTGTACCAGCCGTCGCACACATCCAGCCTCGAATCTTCCAAAACCCTGCAACCTTTGATCTTGAGAGTGCGACTTTTGCTTCTCAGGCTTGTAATTCACACTTTTGCTTACAATAGACGGGCGTTGGCAGGTCTTCACTGATCAATCAGGCATTCGGAGTGGACAAAGCGGTAGGCTGCTCATCATCTTAACACTGCTTTGAAATACCCCGTGCAGGCGGGCGTTTATTGGAGACTGGCACAGAGGCATTCCTTACATTGAAGCGCGACGGAAAACTCGGAAATAGTTCGTTTGTTATCGCTCCATGCAGGTGACCACTAACCCTGGTCCAAAGTTCCCGTCGTCGTAGTTTTCACAAAATATGATATGCTCATCGATCTTGTGGATCGTACTCTGGACAGCTCCTCTCTCACGCAGCGAAAGAAACACATGAGGAAACACGAGCCCATCTGAATCCGTCCGTCAGCATTTGGCGCCCGAAGTGTGAATCGTCGTGATTTGCATTCTGAGGCGCGCACTGGCAGGTGAGTCTTGTCAGAATCGCAAATTCCCTACTCGAGCCGCGGCTCAGGCCAGAGCCAGGCCAAAGCCAGCCATCATTTGCGGCTTTGGCCCGGCTTGGATTTTTTGCAGGCCAGAGCCGTCTGAAGCCAGGCCAAAGCCGTGGCTTTTGGGCCAAGCCGGGCCGGAACATCACTACTCAAAATATTAGAAACAGTAGAGAGTTGCAAAACTTCCCATCATGGGGTGTGTTGGCGCAGGCGTCACACTCTGTCACAACGGCACGTTCAAGCTCCGATAAACTGACACTCAGCATTTGAAATCCTCGGTGGGGTTGGACTATCAAGATTGGTACTCCGCTCACAATTGTCACGCTTGAGCATTCTATGACTGGCGTGATTGCATCGTTGATAACACCAGCAACTCTGCTCTACTCTCACAATAAAAATGCGCAGGAGGTGAGGATTGGTATGGAGGACCTCTGGAAAAATTTAAACCTTGTTTTTCTGGGATCTACCCTTTTCCCTGATTGTTCTACATGAAAACTAGTGACTTTAGGCGATAAATCTGATGCCGAGGGTGTTCATCATGTTTTCATTTTGTTAAAAAAAATATAGTCCTATAGATCAATGGCATAAGGTCCTATGACCAAGAGTAGAAGGTTTAGAATGTGTTATGGTGTGTGCTATGAGGTGTTTTGCAACTCTCTACCATTTTGCAACTCTGGCCCAATGATAGTAATACACGCGGAAGAAAATGGCCAGTACAAACTTTGAATCAGTCCACGAATGACATGAATACTGTAATTCGTGGCATTCTGAATCAATACATGCCTATAAAACGACACACTTGACTTCATTATTGCATATCTGCTTCTGATATCTATCGCGACGGGTAGCTGGAAGACAGATAGTATGTCCGTACGGCTGATGCGACAAGTAGTGAAGCACCTATCATTGTTCTCTCATCGTGAAAAACTCCAGAGTTTTTGACACCACTAGTTTTTGACATGTTTTTAACGTGTTCATGACGTGTCGAAAACTCGAGGGCGTTTTGAGGGTGTCAAAAACTGTCAAAAACTCTAAATATACCATAGCGTTAATAGAACATTGTTGAGCGTCGGAGTTGACTATACAGAGACAAGAGAAGAGCCGAATAGTCTCTAGAACAACGGTCCTGCTACCTCTCCTGGACCATGGACTTCTTTGAGACAGTTATCAGCAATGATACCTCATTAGCGAGGCTCGAAACTGCATTATGCCATCTCCCAGACAATACACCCCTAGGAAACCAAAAATACAACTTCGAACACTTCTCTCCAGATCCTGAAAAGATTGAATTATACGGGACCTCGGAGGCAGCACTCAACCATGAGCTTGAAGTGACCTTTGCACCAAAAGGACAAAGAGACAACTCCGCACCTTGCCCATTTGAGTTTGCAGAACGCGGGCCTGGTCTCATTGCAGTGGTCAAAGTGTTACGGGCTGCGCTGCAAGTGTGTCCTGACTCTGCGATACTGCAAAAATGGATGAAAGATCTATCGAAAGCTGCAGAGTACCATTATAACTTATAAGGCTGCATACAAAGAGGTGAACTTAACAGCTGAATGCACGATCAATAGTCTGAATGACTTACACCACATTTCATAAGATCCCCGCTCAAACAGTCATCGAAGTTGAACCCAAAGCGAGTGATGACATAGAGGCCTTAACGATCAATCATGGTGATTATGTAGACGTTCCAGAACCAATTCCGAAAGGGAAAGGGGGACGTCCAGGTGATCCTCGACTCATACGCCCAGCAATTCGCTGCCACAAGAAGGACGACCCCAAGAAAGTCATCGTGTTTTGCTGTGTAGGAACAGCCAAGGGGTGCACAGCAGCCTGGAAATGCAAGACTTGCATCAAAAAATGCATTGGTGTTCGTCGGTAGTGAAGATGCTCATTTAGACAGTCCTGAGCTCCTGGACCTTCTCTCCGACAAGCCGATCGAGACGGAGGCTCAAGATCAGTCACAAACACCTGGGCCATCTTCACAAACAGCTGGTGGTGGTCCCGTAGCCTGGAAGTTCAATTTTTCTCAAATTCTGTAGCACAAAAATTACAATATGGCCGGTGTCAATAACTTGTCAAAAACTAGTTAAAAACACGCGTCAATAACTGGCCTGGGGATGCCCAATGTTATAAACATGTCCAAAACTCGGCGTGGAGTTTTTCACGGAACACTAATTCTGCGTATCTGTGAAATGCGTCTATTTTGGTCGTTCTCCATATTTATAGATTTGAGGATCGTGCAGCGATTCATCTATTTTTAAATGCGAAGATGCGGTGTGCAGTACTGTAGAGATACGACACTAGGTTCGTCACGGGTCACAGCCATCAACGAATCGAACCTATTTGGTGTGACTGTCACACCAATTTTTTGGGGGCCAAAGCTAATTTGTGACACGTGGTAAACACATACAGAAAAACATATGAAAAACATACAAAAAACATATAAAAAACAACAATGCCTAGCTAGATTCTACCTATTACTTCTCAACTTTACAATAAGATATGAATCACACAAGAAGCCTTGACAAGTACATTGGTACAATTGTGGTACAAGGTGCAGCAATCACAATTTGCGAACCTATTTTTTATGTGGTCACAGGTCACAGGGTAATTCGAAGCTGTGACACTAAGTGTGACTTTGTCACTAGCTGCACGTGACGAAGCGAGTGTCGTATCTCTACAGTACTAGTACTCTAGACAATAGTATACAATGAGATTTGTGGCAAACTATGTGCAGAAAAGAAGCTCCTGGGGTGTCTGTGAGTGTCTGTACAGGGATTGACAGGGAATGGTGTTGCTGTGCTGAGCTGGCTAGAAGGGACCAAGTTGTCCATCTGTCACGCTGTACAGCTCTGTACAGACCGTTGTAGTTTACTGATGTACGTCTGCTTCGTACTATCTCTACAATGTAGCTATAGGCCAATGAGGACGCGCTTGAGTTTTGATTGTGCGATGTAAGTGAAATGCTGTGAATCGACGCATGGAAGACCAGAGAGCGCTTCGCACGCAGGTCTCTATATTGCTCAGAACTGTCAAGTTTTGTAGTACTTGCACTCTGCACAATCCTACCCTGGTTTGTTTGTGTTCCTGTTCGCAATGTTCAATGGGCTGTTACTTCACAATGTTCGCCGCTAGGAACATTGTCGATTATGCAACAAGTACGAAGGGAACAGAGACGGAGAAGATTTCACGAAGCTCTGGTGCGTGAGAGGCTTGAAATTTTGGATGATTGTTCCTTCGGAATCTGTTGAAATACACATTACCGACGACTTCACGAGGATGTCCCTTTCTTGACACAAAGCCACTCTTCCTCTACGTACTGCAAAAGTCGACGAATACATTGGCAAACAGGAAGCGGATAATTGTCATCCGACGGTCTGCCAATGCAAATAGCGCTTTCAGAACAAAGAAAGCGCGATAGCTTTTAGCCAAGGAAATCGTGAATGGATCCATTTTCACCGGAACTCGAGGTTGCCTACAGATCAGCACGCACAAGGGAAAGCAGGGCGATGGGATTTCCTAAAACTCAAAGAAGATGGTGATAAGGTAGTACCCTCTGGATGGGGAAGCGAGAAATATAGAGGGTGATGCAAAAGGTGCGGGGCAAGTTGATAAATTGGGAATGTCTTTGGTGCTTTTCCAGTTGTCGTGTTGGAAACAGCTAAAAGTAGGGCAATCCTGGAGCGAACATGTTCTTCACGTCAGCCTCTTTACAAGGGGTCGCAAAAAAATTGCCAGGATTGGCCTGTAAGGCTCGTAGTTTGTGGTTAGAATGGACTTTCGGAAGTTGCGCAGGAATTCTATATCATCCTTCCAGTTGCTCAGCGCCATAGCCTTGCGGAAGATTGCCAACTCGGGGGCATGCTGAGCAAACTGAGATACAGAATTTGGCCGTATAATCCCGAGCCCGGCTTGGTCCAGGAGATCCTTGAGCCGCTCAGAGAGTTCAGCGGACAGGTGGTGCACGGGATACGTATCAGGACGAGACATTCGTGTGATGTAGTGAGCAGCGTTCATCGTATAGCCTGAAGGAAATGAACCGAATGGAAAGGGAAGACGGCGCGACGCGTTCCAAACAGATTTGAGATATAATAGCCACTTGCGAATGACGTAGCTCAAAACGTAAGAGCTCGGTATGTGTGGTACCTGCAAGTTTGTTTTTTATGCTGGCATAAACTGTCAGAATGTGGTCACTATGTGCTTACCTGAGAACGTTCCTTGCATCCCACTTCGCCAGCGATATGATATAATGATATCTCCTATCTCTATTCATTTTCTGTAAAAAAAACACAAGAACGAATCACTGGCAGCTGCAGCGAGCTGGCAATGAATACCCGCCATATCATGTAGACGCAAAGACAAATTGGATCACTTATCGCGGGACAAAAGTCGAAATACGATGGCTTTTGCGAGGCCGTTAGCTGAAACTCACATGGAAAATGAGCCCACAGAAAGAACTTGGAAGAGTACTTAGGTCGCTGGCGTACCAATGCCAATATATTTGGAGGCAAGTTGTGGAGTCTGGAAGAACTTGAAGTTATAAAATGAACTCAGCGCAGATACGCAAACTGCCGCGGACATAGAAACACGCATTGTAACAGCCTGTAACAGCCTTCTGACATTGCTGAGCGACGAGACCTGCAACGCCCTTTGAAACTAGCAGACCTTGAAATGAAGGAACGACTGTCTTCAAGGTCTCAGTCAGCTACGGAAAACCAGCGCAGATGGGGCAAGACACACCTTTTCGCTGCAGACAAGAATAACCATCGTACGCACGGTAAAACATCGATATCAAGATATGATTGTATGGTATCACAAGGAAAATACTACTACGGTACTACTAACTGTACAATGGGTGCAAATGTGGAAAATGTATGTGTATGTGTATATATTATATAGACTAGACTACGGAAGCCAGGATGCAAAACACAATAGTACTTTGCGGATCCAGGAACTTCGAGGCCAGACGACGACAGCGAAACGATCAGAGCAAGCCGGCAGTGCAAGTTGGTGCATATTTTTTTAAAAGCTAATGTGTTAGCGAGGCAGCGAGGAAAAGGTATCAGACGTCATATTGCTCTTGCCGGAACAGATGGCGCACAATGAATGACTTTGAAGAGAACTTGAAGTCAGGCTCACTCATTGTATAGGGATAATTTCTGACTCCTGTTCAGGCTCGAGCGGTGGCCCCATGTGTATGCGAAGAATGAGAACGCCATCCTCTAAAGTGACGGAGACGTCTTCCTTCTGAAAAGAAAATGCACGCTTGAGACGCAAGATCATATGCGATTTCAGTCTACTCGCCTTGGTATCATGACGAACGGGAAGTACCCTGCGAAACTTGCCATACTTGCGTTCTTTGAGTGCTATTATGCCATCTGCAAGTGGTTGTCGGGTTTCTCCTGTGATTGATACTTGTTTCAAACCGTTCTGGCACGATGACAACTCTATCTTCAGGTCGCTCTTCTTCACTCCTGGAAGTTCAAACATCGCTGTTGTCACTCGACTCTCGCTGCAAAAGAAGTAATCGGCTCTGGGTATAAAAGTCGCACTGGATGATATGGGTGGGATGACATGGGATGGGCTGATGATGGCGGTCCTACGACAAGAGTATGAATACATCCCTCGAATGGATGTCAATGCACGATCACTCACTTGTGTAATGAAGCAGAAGTGGTTGTTTGGGCTGCAGGTACTAGCATCGACGGACCTGGTGTGTAACTGCTAGTTGACTGTCTCACATGTGGATTTGATTCATTCTCTCGTCTTGGGTTCGCACTCTGGGGGCGACGATATGGATGTCCCATGTTATGTGCGGGCGATACTTTCGCTCGCACAGGTCCCACTGAATGCACACCACTAGCAGACGGCGGGCCAGAAGGCGGGCTAGTGCTAGCTGCCATATGACTTGTTGTATCAACGTGTATATGAGGTCTCATATCTTGGGACACGACATTTTGTCTTCTTGAAGAAGACCCTGGCGCTGATGACATATGATGCAGGTGCTGTGGGACTTCACTTCGACGTTGACTTGGAACAGTGGGCATGTGCTCTTGAAGCTCAATCACAGGCGGCGACGGGGCAAATACACTTTGAGGTTGATGCTGTGGATTCAAAGCGCGTTGAACAGGCTGATGATGATCAAGTTGCTCTGGAATGTTGTTGTTGAGCTCTGTCGTCTCCCATGAATAGGGTGTTGGGGGCGTTGGGGGCATTGACATATTTCCTTGAGTGTATGGGTACTGGTAAGACATTGAAAAAAAGGGGCGATGCTAGGCGGTTACCTCCCCCCGACGCGTTTTTATACCGCGCCAACGCGTGACTCAAATGCTTCCGTGGATCCGAATTGTTTATCGCGTCGGGAGGACCTCGGACCAAGGTTTACATAATGACCGTCGCCCATTGTAATGGAAGGCCTCTGCTGCCCACATCATTTGGATAGCTGAGTCGCCCAACCTACGACAATTTAGATACGAAGAGGTTCTATGAGTGAGTAGTCGAGGTCTGCTGAATATACCTTTGAGTTCGTAAATGCTGCTCATCTCCGCTGGTAAGCGGGGTCCTAGCACGGGGGGCGCCGAAAAGCGCTGTGTTTCCATATTAGGGTTGTACATTGTTCGACTCATACGGGTAGGCTGTGACAGGGACAACGGCTGCTGAGCATTATATCATACATGTACATCAGTTTTCCAGAAGCAGAGACAGCAAAAAGTTCATAAAGCGACGTAGGGTGGCGTACAAAAATCAGAAAACGAAGCTACGAACTTTCATCTGGACTCTGTTATGCCCTCCACCGCCGTAGGTACGTCCGATGATGTCGCTGAAACGCTTTGGCTTTCACGGCGAGAGCGGGGAATCAATGTTCCTGTCTCCGCGACGCGTGCGCCCCTCTCAACACTCTCGTGCCTGCTCCGACTCCGATTAAGACCCACCGGGTCCGCGAAGCGGCGCTCAATGCTTCCTCGTGCGTTCGAACTGCGCCTGCTTAGAGGTACCACAGGAGACAATGAGTGGTCGCGATGCGGTATGAATGACACCACAGGCGACCCATACGAAGAAGACAGAGACGGTGGCGGCACCGAGGGATAGGACAACATATGAGGAATAGTGAACGTTGATGGGGGATTTGACGTCAATGAAGCAGATGATGGTGGCGTCGTCATATGCGTCCCATTGCTAACAAAACTTGCAGGATTTGTTCCGACAATAGGCGAGAATGGGAATGGTGACTCTGTCGAGGAAGGAGAATGCGACAATGGTGTATTACTTTCTGACATATTATTCGTCGGGCGCCGTATCGAGGAGGAAGGTCGGGGGATAGGGACACCATGGATTGCTTGCGAAGGCTGCATCACAGACGTACTAGGCGATGATTGATTGGACATAGATCGTCGATGCGTCGGTTGCGAATACGGGTCTGCCGAGGACAAGCCAACAAGGTTGTCGACTGATAGACCGAGCTTTAATATGAAAGGGCATGGTTAAAGACAAACAAGCCAGTTCAGAAGCCGGTGCTCACCCGTCTCCTATGTTCAAGGAGCTCTTCGCGATACACTTCATTCAACCGTGATACCCGCACATAGTCTCTTTCCGTATCAACCAGGCGGTTGCGCAGTTGCTCGTTTTCCCGTCTCATGGCTTCCAGCATGACTTCTGCACTTGGGATCATAGGGTCTCGATCAGCCAGAAACGTCGGAACTCCCACCCTGTTGTCTGGAGAAGTGGTGATCCCGTTCGTCCCAGATTGCTGTTGCTGCTGCTGTTGCGCAAGCCGCAGCGCAGACAACTCACGACTAAGCCTGTTCACATGAGATTCCGACTCTGCCTCGAGCGCATTTTCGAGTTGAATCTTCTCTTCACGAAGCTGTACACGAGGTGGAATAAGCCACCTTCAAAGAAAATATTGTTCTCCTGCATACCTGCTCCAGTTTGCGAGACAAGACATTGATGATCCGCTCTTCCTCTGCTTCGTAGGCATTGATTAGATCCTCTTCTCGCTTCAGGCTGTTGTTTGAGCTGGTGTTGGACAGTCGTCGGATAGGAGAGTCCGCCATGATATCGAGCTCACTATACATCGGATACCTAACCACTGACCGTCTCTGATGAAACGACTTTTCAAATATGGTGAGATGGTGGATGTTGACTAAGGAAATGGAAAGAAACGGTTGTGGATTGACAGCCAAAGGAGAAATGTATCCCCCGGATGCTTAGAAAGGCAATCATGATTCATGAACCTGGTGGAACGCTTTTCGCCTTCACATCATTAATCTCAAGCGAAGAAAAGTATTCACATGAACCATGTAGGTATCAGAAAGTACGGACAAAGAACAAGAAGACTAGTGATTAAAAGTCATATCCCTCCACCTTAAACGTCTTCCCATACTGAAGGTAACTATCCATGATTTTCAGGATCGGGTCGGGTAAACCCATGCTCAGAAGTGTAAACGAGATCTTGGCGTGGCCATGAATCTGGCCAAGCTTGAAGAAGCACCGCGCAATCAACGTTGGGTACTGTAGGCGAGGTAAGAGATTTCCCTAGGTATAAGAGACAGCACTCACAGTCATCTCCGTGTAATCAGCATATTGGTATGCCGCTACTCGTATCGCAGCTTGGATGGTCCGTGTGATGTCACCTTCCTCGGCGTACATCTCTAGTAACCTCGCCCATGGCTTTTGGGAGTAACGTGAAGTATCGAGGCATCGCTGATAAGCCTCTTTAGCCTCCTCTTTGTGGTGTAAGCGGATGCCTAGGTCTCCGAGGATCTCCCATTCGAGGCCAGTTTTACGATAAGCGACGTGCTGTGTCTTGAAATGTGCGACTTCTGCTCGGAAGATAGTCCACACCCGCAAATCCTGGGAAGACCCATTATATTCAAAGAACGACCTGCCAGATGTGGAGTGGTTCTTACCTCGTAGAGCACCATAAACAAATTATCTAGCCACCGCTCACATAGGCGCTTATTTGTGAATGAGAAGGGCTCCTGATTAGAGCTCGACGGCTGCGATGGCTCAGGCTCCTCCCCGGCAGCGGCTTGCACTGGCTTCTCGAGTGTCATACTTTGCATGCTTGGCGAGTCTTTCGCCTCGTCCTGTTCTGCAATGCCACTACGAGTAGATTCTGCAATTTTGCGTTCTGTGTCATGTTCTGAGGATACACGGATGATCGGGATCGCCGAAACGTTGAGCCCGTTCTCAAGTTCAGGTTTGCTCTCTGATTCCGACAGGGGGCTGGACACCCCTCGTGTAGACGCGTCATCGTCTGCGAGCATTGCGCTCCCCTCGGTAACAGAGCCATCCTCGTGGATCACTGCGACATTTTTGCTCACATCTCGTGCACCGTTGCTGGTCACCACTTTTTGGATGTCTGCCTGGGCCTTCTGCATCCGGTACTCTTCCTCCATCACAAACACTACACTTCGCGTCTTCAGCAACTCGTCCCAGCCTATATCAGAGACAAGACGTGTAAGCAAGGAATAAGCCCTCGCCCACGTTCCACGAAGGCCAGGCGCAGGAAGGCGAAGGAGGGCTGGATCGGCCTGAAGAAACATGAGATGCGGATAGCGATATAATAATCTCACGAACCACATCATCTTCACTTTTCGTTTTTTCGGGGAGGATGTCGCCGATCTGGCGCTTGAAGGGTAAGTGAACCTTTGCAGGTACAAGAGCTCGGTGAGCATCACGTCCATTGAAAGTGAACATCGGACATGAGTTTAGCGTTAAAAGCGCCTGTGGTGGCGGTCAGTAATCTCGACTGCACTTAAGAAAGCTACATACCGATTCGTAGTCTTTTGTGTCAATGTATAGCTCGGTGAGCTTCTCCCAAGTGACAAATTCGCTCGGTGCACAGTTAACAGCCTCTCTCGCGAGTTTCAATGCCCAGTCTGACCTGCCCTTGGACCGAAGGAAATCACTTTGTACGTGAAGAAGGGTGTACGAATGTGGAGTATGCTTCATTGCAGCAGACATGATCTGAACTGCCTTTACTTCCTCGTCTTGTCATAAAAATGTCAGACGGGACGGTGTCTTGGAGAGAGGAAGAAATCAGCGCACTCATTCCAATGTAACTTCTTGCCAGGAGCGAGGCAATCTCCGGTTCTCGTGCAGACAGCTTCTCGAACAAGTTAGCTGCTGGCTGACAGCGCCCGCTGTCACCGAAGTACTTCATTACACCCGCAGTCAAGTGGTTAGAAACCACAGTAGCAACCTGTATCTCGGGATCCGACCCAACCTGCCATCCTACGCTGCGATTAGCTTCTTAGACAAACAAGGCCGAATGATGACGCGCTTACCCTGCATAAACAAGGCCTCTGCCGCCTGCAAAAATCGGAGTTCGCCTTCAATTGTAGTGATAGGGTCGAGCTTGCGGTAAGCTTCCAACCAATAAGTCGGGTCGTCGGAGTAGAGGATAGCCCGAAGCAGTGCAGAGAGGTATGTTTCTTGCCATATATCTGGGGTCGCTTCATGTCTAGAACCCATAATCACAATCAATAACTCGACACAAGCCATAAGGGAGTACGCACCGGTCGCCACGAAGATCTACGACATAGGCAACGACACCTCCTGGGATCTTCACATCTACGCGGATATCAACGCGAGAGAACGCGTTGTAGCAGCTTTAACCAAACATTCAGCATATATGGAGCTATTCAGGAAGCGGATACAAACCAATAGCAGCCATTTCTAACTTTCCATGCTGTACTCTTCGAAAACCAGGCAGAGTTGTCCTCGATGGAATATGTGAGAGAATTTATATACGCGGCGAGTGACGCTGACGAGGATGCATCCACTCCTGACACAAAATGATACGAGCCAATCTAAACCAACGATTAATATTTGCGCTACAAATTCCAGATGCCAGAACTCACATCGCGTTGTCCGGTGCGTCCAGTACTCTTCACAATATGGCAGAGGTCTGGGGGGCCAAGTTCGCGAAATGTTGCTATGATACATCGTCAATGTTTCAATAAGCAAGGCCGAAATGTGCTTGACTGACCAAGGCTTTCGGTTCTTGCTGTTAAGGCTTCTCCGAGTTCAACCTGAAACACAGTAAGCCTAACATTGGTCCGCAGTCGTGAGAACTATGCCAACCTCGAACAGTTCTGGGACGTCTTTGAAGGACGCAGTTGCGTCCGCCATGATGATTGACGTCTACTCAAAGTAAGTTATGTTGTAAATCGGCGTGCCTGCCACCTACGCACTATCAAGGATGTTGTTGAAGACGCGCCATATTTGTTCCTAAAGCTGTTGCCAAACAACGCCTGTGGCTGTGCCACGCAGTGACTTACGTTGAAACTTTCATCTTACTTGCAAGTCATATTAGATGTGGATGGGCAGACTTTCTTCTATTCAGGTCTGACTACGGGAGACTTGTATGAAGCCGTCATTTGATCATCACTCAAGGCAAGTTCTCCAAAAAGAATGGAAGAAGAAGGCGACCAGAAGTGGGCAATCGCTCCTAATATTAATTCCTTGTCTACACCGTTTCCGCTCATGAATATCCGAGGATTTAGAGACTATAGATTCACCTGTGGATCCAACGAAACACATCGCCGCGTGTTCTGTACACCACCCACTGGGTACTATATTCTGCTCGGCATCACATACCTCACCCCATACGTGCAGGTGTCGCTAGTGTTGACACGCGATCACAGCAATGCCTATATTTCGCCTGGCTAATAACCTGGAAGCGTTGGCTCTGCTGCAGCCAGAGAAAAATGTAGCTGCTTCGCGTAGTGACGTATCCACTCAGGCATGGTGAAATAATGAGATCAACTTGCGATTCCAGGACAGCCATGGAATTCACTGGGATGTCGTGGATCATGAGGTTACCAGGGCCGAGAAGCTTCGAGATTTGTGAGATTGGTAGAGCCCGAACGGACAAATACAAGTGTGCCCGCTGGAGCCTGGGGGTCAGCACACATGGAGAGAATGCGGTAATATAACCGGTGAGTCTCCGTCCCTGGCAGCAGATCATTCGTCAGCTCGAGCATCAGCTGAAGTCGATCGCGGGGATCATTGTCTTCATTGTCGATGAAAAGAATCATCGTGGTCGCCACGATGAAACGTCTGCGCCTCGCAAGCTCATTCCTCGATGGTTGTGGGAAATTGGGATGGCGACCTTATAGCTCTTGGAAGGAATGCTATAGGAAAATATAAATGTCATTGTCGACATCTGCGCCGTCTAACGAGATGGTGACAACAACACCCTCCCCAGAGGTGTTCACTGGTATATCGCACACCAGCGGACGTATCTCTTCCGTCTGCATGGCTTTAGGAATGTGCTCCTCTGAGCGACTCGTGAGCAAAATGTGGAACATGGGCAGCTCAGGATCACGAAGAGCTTCACCAAGCAGGGAGATAACTGTATCAAACACCGTCGAAACTGAGTGATACCAAGAGGCACGAAAGCTCACCGAAATTCCTCGCAAGACCACGAAAACCAAACGGGTTCTCGACCCACCATGCACACGCATTCTGCGCAACAATGTCAAGTTTGACGTCACAAGAATCCAAATTGGTTGAAAGTCGTGAACAACAAGTGTTTAACGTCCTCAGGGACAAAAATGATGTTAAAGGTAATAAGCAGCCTCGACGAAGAGAAAACAAAAGATAGGGACCACTAGTACTGACCGATCCTTCAACCACATACAGGTATTCCGAGAACACAAGAACGAATATATAATATAAAAGTACATCCGATGCCGAAAAGGCTCCGTGACGGGGCATACACTGGCATAACAAAGACAGAGAAAAAAACAAAGTACCCCGCAAAAGCCCTCTCCTTACGAGTCGGGGATTTAGGGAAGGGGTAGGAGAGTGGAAATATTAGCTGCTTCTTCATTCCCCACCCCCCAACTGCGAGGGCGTTAGAGAGTCATAGATCGGACACAACTGATCCCATTCCTCTGTAAAGCAGTTCAGCCATGGAGGTACTATCTCTTCACGTATGACTTACGTGGCACGGGGTCCACATGTGCGGCGGTGTCTGAGGGACTTTCCGCCATTACCACGGCAAAACCGCTGGATGGAAGAATGAGTCATTTCTTTCACAGGGACATCCAAAAACATACGCTTCGAGGTGCCAGTCAATGTGACTTTGGTTTGGTCCAGAGTTAGTACCTTTCTTTACAGCTCAATAAAAATGATGTCATACCAATGCAAGAACCAGGGGCCAGAATTGTCGGTCGTCCATCGTATCACCATCTGTTGCCCAGGACCGCCAGCGTTTACCACATCGCGGCGAACTGGGTTCACATAATTGAAGGTACTGCTGGTTGCGCTCTGTACGACATCGAAGGCGTGCTAATATCACATCAGTACCAGCGAAACATGCCGTTGGAGTCACGGCGAACTTACCCCATGAAGGTGTATGGGATGCTGGTACAATGTATATCAGGCACATAAGGATCAAAAGAAAGGAAAAGACGTACGGGTCCACCTGGACCGGTTGTTGACATTGTCAACTCTACCACTTTGTTCGCCTCTAGAACGATGACACTCCCGTTCGGGAGCAGCTGAGACGCCTCGTGAGCTCCACTGAGAATTTGGAGTAGAACAGGAACGGTGGGGGGTTTGAATGTGACATTATTGACATAGAATGTGCCCCCGACGTTGGAAACATTGAGTTGGAGGTTGATATCTGCCTTCCCATACTCTGGGATGCCAGGTGCACCGGGATTGATCAGAGCATGCAAGTTGGTCTCTAACAATGGGTTCTGCGATGCCGTATTGACCGTGGTCGGGTTAGCCTGTGGGGCACCTGTGTAGCGCAGGATAGCAGAGTTCGTGCCTCCCACGAAGGATGCACCCGGCGTATTAGGAAGACTGCGCATCCAGTAGTTACCCACCGGCTTGTCAGCTACCAGAACCACAGAATAGCGCTGACCCGCAAAATCTGGAGCTGATCTACCACCAGTGGTTCGGTCAACTCTCCATCCGCTTCGATGACGGTTAAGTTGTGACCATCGATGGAGAACAGGAAGTTGGGGTCGCACGACATTGCGACCAGGCGCATGCGATATCGCTTTCCCTGCTGGACACTGATCACAGCGAGATCAGACGGCGGTCCGCCAACATATCGACCAAGTCCGTTGATGAGCGAAGAGTCAGCAATGGGAGCTATGAGGTGGCGCAAGACAGGGGCCACGACGTGATACCTGGTGAAGCGACTTTAATCGGGAAGATTACCAATGGGCCTAAAACTCACCAGTCGGAAAGCGTGATTACGGTACTTGCTGGCAACACATGATGGTCAGAGGGTTTAATATAAACCTATTGTTCGCTCACCATCATCGACATCGTACATGTCTACCAAAGGGTCCTGAGGATCATAGATTACAAAGGCTCCCCTCAGACCATCACACTGTTCCACAGGTCAGTCCTCCACCACATGCGCAAGATTCGAGAGACACTTGCATATTGAACGGAATAATGACTATGATACCAGTAAGTGCCCGCCTGGTTCGGGGCGGAGAAAGTGTGTAAAAAAGAGTGATTCTGCGCAATGGGGCACTGTGTGACGAAGGACGTTCCATCGGCATAGTTCGTCCCATTCTGGTAGATACCGTGCCAGTGCTGCGGCAAACAGAATTAATAAATAATAGCGCGGGTGATTGACGCTACTTACGACGCTGGTACTCTTGAACATCGTCTCGTCCTCGAGCTCGTTGACTACGTCGATGGAAAAGTTCTCTCCCTATTGTAGAGTCAGCACGGGCGCATGACATGGAGGTCGACAGAAGTTCACCTTCTGGGCTGCAATCAAGGGCCCAGGGAACATGCCATTGACAAGAGTTGCTCTGTTAAAGATCAGGAGTGAGCTCTGAGTGTCGTGGCAATAGACTCACGAGCGTTTGAAGCCGTCAGGAGCGATGACCTTATTACCTATGGTCAATGTAGTTTGGGGGCCAAGCTGAGATAGTGGGTAGGACTGTGAGCGAGATACTATAGATGCAGCATTAATCGATGAAGCCAGAGAAGCGATCAGAATGTGGATAAACATCATGATTATTCACGATAGGTGGTAGTGCTCTCACTCGGGAGAGTTGTGGGATGTAGGATAAGATGATGATGAGGGGACACATACCTCTCTCAGGTTTTATCTTGCAGCGGTAGCCTTGAATGTCGACTGATTATGACCACTCCGCAAACGGTTGCTCAGTGATCTCCAGCATCCCGGACATTTGATTTTCAACAGAGTACTGTTCTTGGAGTTAGCAGCTATCTGCCGACGCATTGAAGAATGGTGGCGTACCATAATTGCGTCATGAAACCATGACCCGGACCCAACAAAAAATAAGTCAGATAGCCAGGACAGCCAAATGAGTCCCATAGCAGTGCTAGTGCTAGGTCATCACAGCAATTCAAGGCGACTCTTCAAGCATAGAAGGAGAATAATGCAGATGGCTAGTAGCTCGCCAAGCATGCCACACGAGAGAATCGGACTAGTTTGTCTGAAAGGAATGGTCACACGCTGTAAGGGAATTGAGCACTAACCTCTTCATATAAATTGGAACTGATCAAGGCAGATTTAAATGTTATTTGCGTTAGGCAGCATGTATAATTATAATGATTACCTTGAAAGGACCGCTGACATTGCCGGGATTTCATCCTATCGTCTAACCGATACCGTCGCTGTGTGATGCGGAAGGAAAAGTGAAAGTGTGGGATCAGGCAGTGATTGGACGGGATCTCGGAACAGCCTGGAGCATACGTGTGTTTACTTAGTGCCTTCATTCCAATTCAGTAACGATCGACAGCTGGCTGAATTATGGATCAATGGATCAGCTAGGGGAACGTTGATGCTAAAGTTATACTTAGATGCATATAACAGCTTGAATACTGACGACGTTCATTTCTTGTGTGGGCATCGCAAGATTGGATACACTAGCATTGGTAGAGTAAAAAATATGGGCTGGATTAGTTCGCAACCAAAAACAGGTGGATTTTTTATTGGAACAGACCTGAAGATGGTAAAGTGGAGGAAAGTGGTCGGATGACGATTATGGCGTTGCATGGGAATGCAACGGACGCCAAGTCGGTGTTGCGCCTTCCCTTGCAAGAAGGAATTAGTAACATCATTGTATCTAAGCTATGTCATTTGAAGGAAGAATAGCAACACGACAGCGGTATCCAAATCGGAGACACTTCTTCGAGGATGGAAGCAATGACTCCGAACAGGAATAGCTGTTAAGTCAGTTAAACTAGTAGGATTGGGGCCTGGTTTCCGCAGGATGTACTGGTGGCCCGTCGGGCGGCGGCTGACTGTGTGGCACTAGACGCTCAAATCTCTCATCAACGAACGTTGAGAGGAGATGATTGAAATGCTTTGGTGATGGTTGTGGCGCGATAGCAAAGACCGAAGGTTGTGCCATCATTGAATTGTGGAAGTCGGGCTGAAGTGACCATAAATGATTAATGGCATCAGTCATGCTTGGCCTGATGCATATAATGAAATGGAGAGTTCGTTCACAGAGCTGGCAGGCTATGTTACTAAGAGCTGTTTGAATTTGAATGGATGGGCTTATCAGTTGCTTTCAGAAAGGCTCCAGGATAGTGGTGGTTTGTCACGGTAGTTGCAGAATGAGTGGGTATTACCATATTTGAAACGAGCGCTTCAAGTTGAGCATAGACTCGGAGAAACGCCGCACCGGGGGTACACCTTACATAATTTGAGATTATCAGATGAGTTCAAGACATTCAGCCTTCCGACTTGCAACGTTACAGCATCGTGAATGATTGTTATGGCCGTATCAATGTCTGACTACGGGAGACTGGTGTAAGCACGCTGGCTTACTTGAGTTCTCATAATCAATACATATACTGTCGCGGGTACTGAAGACTAAGTCTTCAGTATTTCTACCTTTTGGTGTAACGGTCATGAGGCGCGGCAGCCGACTACTTTACAACTGGGAGGAAGGCAAGTTCTTCAAAAAGAGTGGAAGAAGGCGAAACCAGATGTGCCTCTAGTAATCCCTCCCAATATTGATTCCTTGTCTACACCGTTTTCGCTCACGAACCACTACTCCATATCCGATATCCTGCGGAGCTGACGGCTGTAAATTCACCTGACAGTGGCTGCAACGAAACACATCGTCACGGGTAGTGCACATACCACCCACTTGGCACTATATTCTGCTCAGCACCATATACCTCGTCCCCATACGTACAGGTGGCAGGTGCTGCTGGTCTACCTGGTTTATTCCGAGTGGGAGACCGATGACAGTAATTCCTATATTTCGCCTGGGTAATAACCTGGAAGCAGTGTCTCTGCTACAACCAGAGGAAAATGTAGTTGATTCGCGTGTTGAACGCCGTATTCACGCAGGCAAGGTGAAATAATGAGATCGACATGCAACTCTAAGCTAGCCATGAAATTCAGACCCTCGACCAAGACGCTTCTGGGGCTTAGAAGGGTCAGATGCTGAGTCGCAAGAAGTATCAAAATGTAACCCACCTTTGCAAGTATCTGACCTTCAGATAAAACTCCGAGACAAGACTGCAGACCCTTCAAACACCATTGCGTTTCGAGCCAGGAGAGGAGGTGACGATTCCAGAAAACCTTGAATGTATGGTCGAGCCTGTTGTCCCATGAATTCGGAGCTCGCGAGAGATGGAAGGCCCAATTTTGACATGCATACTTGCAAGCGTCGGAAGCTGATCGACTTCGTTCCTGTGCTTCGTTTGCAAAAATCGTAAATGCGGTCATAGCATGAATGACCTCCATGTCAGGTAGAAGATAGCCTTGTGGGAGTATAGAGGTGAAATGAACCTGAGGTCGCAACGCAAGGAACACCGGAAACACCAAGAAATCCGGCAAGCTCCTGAACTCCTGGATTGCTTGAAACGCTGGGACCAAAGGCAAGTCTGGGATGATTACACAGTCACTGATTGCGTTCCAGGCGCTGGAGAAGCCTTCCATTGCCAGCCAGACAAATGCCGCAGGAGTCGACTGCCACGCTTGACCATGTAGCGTCTGCAGCCACTCTCGTCCGCTATGGGTTTGCAGCCACTCTCGTCCACTCTGAGTTTGCAGCCACTCTCGCCCACTCTGAGTTTGCAACCACTCTCGTCCGTGCCAAGTCCCGAGCCACTCTCCCACGCTGCTGGTCTGGAGCCACTCTCGCCCACTCTGGGTTTGCAGCCACTCTCGCCCACTCTGAGTTTGCAACCACTCTCGTCCGTGCCAAGTCCCAAGCCACTCTCCCATGCTGCTGGTCGGGAGCCACTCGGGTGCATTCTGGGACTCGAGCCATTCTTGCCCGCTCTGAGTCTGCAGCCAGTCTTTCACGCTCTGTACATGCGGCCAGTCTTCCCTGCTCTGTGCATCCAGCCATTCTTTCGCGCTCTGTGCATGCAGCCAGTCTTTCGCGCTCTGTGCATGCAGCCAGTCTTTCCCGCTCCCAGTCTCCCAGTATTGCCCGCTCTGTGTCTTCAGCCAGTCCTCCATTCGGATCTCCAGCAACTTTGTCTTATCAGGGTCCCCAGCCATTTTCCGCGGTCTCTGAGTCCACAGCCACCCTCGCCCGGTCTGCAGCCAACCCCGCCCGCTGTCAGTCTCTAGCCATGCTTTCCCTCCTCGGGTCTGCAGCCAGTCCTCCCCCCTGCGAGTGGGCAGCCAGTCCTCACCCTCCCGGGTCTGTAGCCAGTCGGTTCCCCCTGGCGTTTCAAGCCATGCACGCCCGTCCAAGGCCCCAAGCCAGGATCGCAAACCCGAACCGCGACATCCGCGAAGCCATAGCAAACCCTTGAGAACATGTAGTGGCTCCGGTGGCTCAACGATGAAGGTTAATGATTGTTGTAAGCCCCGGGGGTCATGGGCCGGCATAGCTCGGTTGTGCCCCTTCAACTCTAAAAAAGCATCTAGGAGGGTGCTTGCTGGGATGTCATGGATCATGAGGCGGAGAGAGGAATAAGCGAGTAAAGAGTGAGGTGAGGTAATGGATTGTACTTGAGTGAAGCTGCAGTTTGAGGGATCTGAGACATAATCACGAACTGACGAGTGATAGATATTCACGGGAAGATCCCCATCGGTTGGTATATCTATCACAGACCGCAGCTGAAACAGCACTGTCTCGACATCGTTGCCCATCCCGGGGCCAAGAAGCTTCGATATTTGTGAGATTGGTAGAGGGTCCGCAAGTGCAGCCACAACGGACAAATACAAATGTGCCCGCTGGGGGTCAGCGCACGTGGAGAGGATGTGGTCGTATAACCTATGCACCTCCGTTCCTGGCAGCAGATCATTCGTCAGCTCGAGCATCAAATGAAGTCGATCGCGGGGATCATTATCTCGATCGTCGATGAAGTTGATCATGGTGGTCGCCACGATGAAACGTCTTCCCGCTCGACTCGCCAGTTTCGCGAGCTCATCCCTCGATGGCTGTGGGAAATCGGGATGGCAATCTTGCAGCTCTTGGAAGGAATGCTGCAGGAAAATGTAAATGTCATTGTCGACATCTGCGCCATCTAATGAGATGGTGGCAGCAATGCCCTCCCCAGAAATGTTCACTGGTATCTCGCACACCAGCGGGCGCATCTCTGCTGTCTGAATAGCTTTCCGGATATGCGCTTCTGAGCGACTCGTGAGCAAAATGTGGACCACGGGAAGATTAGGTTCACGGAGAGCTTCGCCAAGCAGGGACACGAGAACGGCAATGGTTTCGGGGTTGCATTCGTCAAGGGCATCAACAACGAACGCCAAAGGTGGACACTCAAGCAGTCTGAAGCGAAGCCTCCGGAGAGGTCGGAGAAAAAGCGACTCCATTTGGTCGCGAAGAGACTTGTCGGGGTCTAGTAGAGCAGGATTCTCGATAATAGCTCTGTTCACTTCCTCCCGGATACTGGGGAAATTACTTGCAAGCTGGTATGCAAGCGTCGCAAAGAAATGACCGGATGTGCGGCGTTTCGTGTGTTTGCGCGAGAAAAAAAAAGTTCCTGCGAGTCGTTTTTCGACACTCGTCCCTTCTGTCACTTTCAGACCTCTCATCCTTTCAGCTACGGTGAACGCAACAGCAGACTTTCCAACGCCCGCCGTGCCATGCAGCCAAATCATCCGACTCTTCTCTTCGCCGTCCAGTAATTCACAGATGTAGTTGAGAAGGGTCACCCGGGTGCCGTCCAAACATTTCGGATGTGGCAGGCGTTCTGCAGAGTCATGTTCAGCACCCTTGACAGCGACCTGGGATAACTTCTCCCAAGTTCCTTCAGACGATCGAGACACTGTTCATGAGGTCAGACAACGAGACGCGGGTTAAGAGCTTAAAATACTGACATTGATCCCAGTCACTCATTGACAGAGCTTGATGATAAGAAATTGTGTGATAGAATGGGTCTAAGGCAGCTCGAGGCCCAAAATACTAGTTACTGTTTGGTTCGACATTGTGGTGAGAAATCATATGGTTAATAGCTTTGGGACACGCACATGAAAAGACTTTAATAGCCCGATTGTCCAGGAATGGTGAATTCGATGGTAATGAGCTGGACAACGAGACGAATAAGCTGTGAAGTGACGATTTGTGAGATCTGCTCGAGTTCGAATGGATGGACTAATCAGTTCCTTTCAGAAAGGTGGTGGTATGTCGTTGCAGAACGATTGGGTATTTGAAACGAGCGCTTGAGCAGCACTGCCCACACAGCATATGTAGGTAAACGCCGCGCATCAGAGAACTGGTGAACAGAAGATATTGTCGTATATCTCGTAATATATAGGAAAGGATTTCGTCACATTGGAATATAAAGCAATATATGATCATGTAACACCATGTAAAAGCACCGCAATCAGCATCATGGCCAGCAAGAACTCACCGGTTCACTGACGCCGCGCCCGCGCGCGGGGGGCCGGGGCACACCTTAATTCCAGATACATGAGTTCAAGACATCCGAAAGGCTTCCGACCTGCAACGTTACAGTCCTGACTAGTCTCCCATTAGAAAGACAGACTGTCACGGACTCGCAGTCATTCCTTCTTTAAAGTGCTTGTCAAAAAGGACGGACAAGATGTTCAAGTTGGAACTTGCTTGAAGAGTATTATGGCTTCAAGATGTCCAGGTTGTAATAAGGACAGGTGGTAGAAAATCATACGTCGGGCATATGGTGTAGCTGGTTATCACATCCGCTTAGCATGGAGCTGACTGCGGGGGGTCTCCGGTTCGAGTCCGGATTTGTCCACATTTTTTGCTATTTATCATTTTAGTTGTCTCTTGCCATTTCCAAGTCATGCCATGTCCCATCGATATGATCATCCTTTCGTTTCATCTCGCAGGTAAAAACTCCCTTCATCAAATAACATTGTCAATTCCATTTAACACTCATCACCCTCCTTTCGACCCCCTGTGTTTTCTCCCATACAGTCTCAACCGTCCCTCCATTATCCAAATCTCGTACACATCGCACAAACTCTGCTACCCCGCCACCTACGCCAAAGTAGAGCACCTTTGCAGCTACAAGACAGAGGTAATCGTCCACACCTTTAGGGCCTTCAGCGTTGCAAGCACCGCGCATGATAGTAGCAAGGCTCGGGAGAGACTCCATACGATATATCGTCTCGGATGTTAGCACCAGGTTATAGCTTCCGCCTGAACTTTCGAGGCTGAACGTGCCCCATGAACCAGAGAAGAAACGTAAATGGACTCCGTAAGTCGTCAAGGACTGATGGAATGCATCTTTGAGGTTCTCAGAGATGTTCAACTCCAAAGGAGAGTGGTCTGCATGTTCCTCCTCCGACTTGCGGTATGTCTCCGCTGCCTCTGACAGATCTGTATGTTAGGTGAGACGTGAAAGAGGGAAAATTTGAATTGTCACGAACACCAGGTCAGAATAATGTTGGGAATGGTCACCAACTCCAAAACGGAGGCGTTATAGTCCTGGAGGTGGATATGCGTCTGGTTCTGAGAAGGCGGGGAAGAAAATATTCGATGGAGAATGTAGAGCGACGGTATCGATGTACCACATCCGATCTGGGTAGCCATTAATGAGTTTTAGTCTACTGACAGAGCGCAGAGAACTTGATACTCACCTCTAACACGCGCTTGCCGTGCACATCAAACTGCGAGCCTATACCATCTAAATAGCTAGCAAGATCAAGGCTGCATTCCCAAGTCTTCAAGCCGCCCTCATAGACGAGAGGCACAAGGTCGGAGGGTGCATCAAAAAATTGCAGCGCAGACCGTGCGTTGGAAATAGACGGTTGCTCCAACGCATCCGGGTCGTCGGCATTTTGTGAGATCAATTGAAACCTCGCATCGAACAGATCACGACGTGGAAGTGAAAGTTCACCTCCGCTGGCAAGTGGGATCGTGATTGGAGAGAAAGATATTTTGGATGGTAGGCTGTTTAGCTAATCCTTGCACCAGATCAGTTTTTTACAGAATGAAGGTGAGAGGAAGATGAGCAGCGTACCGCGTTTGCGAGAGAGAGCTCGGTGAATGCGTCTGGGACAACTACCTGTGCAGAAGTAGGGCCATGATTTTGTGATGTTCGATTTACATCAAGGCTGTCTGGAATTTGTTCGGTATCGTCCTCTACGTCGAAGTTGAACTTGAACATTTTGCGATGAGATCCAAAATGAGATCTATATAATAAGGTTCTCGAGGATGAGTAGCCTGTGGCTGTGCAGGTATTATTGTATTTCCTTATCCTTGTTCCTCTTGTCTCCCACCACGCCGTGACTACACAGGTTGTCACCTTATCTGTGGAGGCTCATTTGGTTCCCCTCTGACCGCGCGTTCCGTCCTTTACGGTATTTCTTGGTATAAGTAGCGTCGCACCTGGTACCGGTTTGTAATTACAACCACCACGATGCGTGTTTCGCAGGTATCGCTCATTCTTGCCGCAGGGTCTACTATCCTACCATACGTCAGTGCATGGGGAGCAGTAGGTGAGTACAGTCGAGCATCCCATTTTTAAAATGTTCAATCCTCCTCTAGGTCATGAAGTCGTCGCAACAGTCGCTCAGATGCATCTGCATCCCTCGGTCATGCCCATACTCTGCGACATCTTGAACTACAAAGGCGACTGCCATCTCGCCCCAGTCGCTGCCTGGGCAGACAGGGTCCGCGGTCTGCCACAGTACAGGTGGACAGGTCCCCTGCATTATATCGGCGCAACAGACGACTATCCTAGCGAGACTTGCGCTTTCCCGGGAGATAAAGGCTGGGAGGGTAGAAAGAATATCAACGTGCTGAGCGGCATAAGGAACACCACAAGTGTTTTGGAGGATTATATGGACCTGCGTAAAGCAGGCTTGACCACTCAGAGTGATGAAGATGCGGCGCAGGTCGCACTCAAATTCCTCATTCACTTCGTTGGGGATATGCACATGCCGTTGCACCTCACTGGACGTGACAGAGGAGGAAACGGAATCAAAGTCTCATTTGACCATCGTGTAACAAGTCAGTCGTTCCCGCTCTTGTCTCTCCTTGCTCTTACCGTCTGCTCCGGTAGACCTTCACTCTCTCTGGGATGGCCTCCTCATAGCTAAAAGAATCCGCACCATACCCTCCAATTATACCCGCCCTCTGCCACTTCCCGAAGTCGAGGGTCACCTCCGGGGTACCATTTACGACCCTTACATCCGTCGTATCGTCTGGGAAGGCATCATGGGCAAATACGAGGACGAGCTCGAATCATGGCTTACATGTCCCACCGAACTCTCCGTTCAACCCGCCCAAAGTCACTTGGAGCAATGGCTATCTTGGACTTTCGGGCGTCGCATTGGGTCTTGGATTTCGGGGTCGCGTGTCACAGATGGAGGCCTGAACACTGATGATGAAACCTTGTGTCCATACCACTGGGCAACTCCCATTCACGCTCTGAACTGCCAGATCGTCTTCCCGAAGGCCTTGGATAAACCACCGTACAACCGCGTTTCCTTCTCTGGGGCCAACGGTCACGGCTGCAACTCATCTAACAAAGCGCTTGAAGTCCACTGGCTTTCTGCACCGAGGAAGAACCCATACCTCGAGCTGGACACGCCCGAGTATTCCGGGATAATCCAGGATGAATGGATTGTTGAGAAGTTGATGTCTCAGGGTGGTATTCGTCTTGCGGCTGTTCTCAATTGGCTCTTCGCAGATATACAGGATTCAACTCTTTCGAATAGAACATACACCTTGTAATTGTAGGTATACCACGTATACCTGGTAAATATTATAGGATCGCGGCTTCGTAATACCGAGGCTGAGTAGATCGCAAAGCCTGTACTTTGTTGGCAAAACATATTCCATTGGCACAACAAACATATCTCGTGCAGAAGTACATAATTCTTACAAAGGGAATCCGGAACGACAAACGACCTAAATCATAACAGTAAGCGATTGTTCGACATGGTACCAAAACGTGAATCAGAAAAGCCAGTGTTTTCTTGTCCCCCGCAAGGCATCGCCCGCTGAACCAACGCAAATGAATCAAAACGAGACATAGACGCAATCTCTTGCGAACAAGAGCGGTCCGAACAAACGCGCAACAAACGGGAGACTCAAAGAATGGATGAACTTGGTTTCGTCCCGAAAAGAAGTGTATGCGATTTTAGTGGATACTCACTCTTTCACAATCAACGTGTCAGGGATGGAGGACCGGTGAGTTGCACTGTTAAAGCAGTTGTCAGCATAGTGTTCTCTTCGTACAAAGAGAAAAAAAGCTGGTCAGGATTGAGAGTTATTGGTAAAAGGTTGTCCACAAGAGATTGTGTCTCTTTCGGAAGCAGAACTGATTGTATCATCACAAAAAGGTGCCCGGAAGCACCAGCATCGAGAAAATTTTTCTGCTCACCTTGATCCATTTGATACGAACAGGAGACGGGAGAACGAAGGAGAGCTAACCACGAACATGGCAAAAGAAATCGCGAGCAGGAACTGTATAGGTGCTTTTGAGTCTCCGCCAGACTCCGCTTCATAACGCCTCAAGCTCGGCAAGCAGATTTTTTACTGTATGAACTGTTACCACCGTGCGATGGATTGATCCTCAAGGTAAGCATCGGAGACCTTTCTTTTCAAATGATGATACTTTCCATCCTCGAGTCGGCGACGGTCTCCAATGAGCCACACTCGTAACATGCATCACCAACTGATTCCCATTTTTATACCTCGATGTTCATCTGCATCACTTGCTTACTTTTTCTTTCCTCTTTACAGGTTTTTTGTCGCGCATGTACAATAATGTGATGCTGGTGAGTATTCTGCCATAAGTTTTCCCTTCCCCGAGATGCTCTATAACATACAAGCATATGTCCGATTTTTATGATGGATAAATTGTTCTTCCTGAGGGAACATATCTCACTGTTGTTGGCCCGTATCTGACACCTCACTTTCTAGGTGTACGTGCATGGTTACTTCGCCAAACGGTATAATATGTGTCAAGATTAATTTAAAACATTGTTTATGACTGCCGCTTGCTTTTGTGAAAGGCGTGTGTATATTTTGACTCCAGAGCCTTTCCATAAGTTTTCACACTGATGCGATTCAATGCGACGTGAATCGCCGCTTAAAGACTGGTATAACTGAAAGCCAGAGCGCTGCATACATCAAGTAATATATCCACATTTTAAATAACCAGACCGGGTTGTTACACATCAGGGGGATCATATATACAAGCGCTGGTCAGCGCGGGTAATCCAAGAAGAAGGAACAAAATGGAAACTACTGGCAACAACTAGCGCGAATTGACGCTAGTATACTTCCACATAAATTCCATAGTAATCATTGCAATGCTAGCGACGTATGTGACCAGCCAAAGTGCAGTGACGGTGCGGAAGATCATGCTCTGGGAGCAAAACCCTGCTATCAACATCGCTAGGGGTGAAATGTATGAGGGCCCAGAGAGAGCATCAAGATACGAAACAACTTACCAAAGATAAAACAATTCAGGGACCAGGCAACGAAGAACATGGGGGTGACGATTGATAACAGGTAGGATATAACGAAGTAGCCACCGAGCTTGAGTTGCTGATAATAACGAAGTCAGCCGGTGTAAACAGTAGAGCGAGAATAAACGTTACCTCTTGAGCCCGTTGTCGATCGGTGGTGAGCCAGCGTATCATGCTCAGGCCAGATGTCATCATGGCGATCATGGCCAGCATGAAGGATGTGAAGAGCAGAAAATAGGAGGCAGGCAATGAATAGTCAAAATAGGTTACGGGAGAGCCTGTGGAGACGAATACACCACTGGCAGCGAGGAGGACGCCTGCCTTTTGAGGGTATGTATGTTAGCGCCGGCTTCAGCTCGCAGGGAGTCGGATAACGTACTGCGGTGATAATGTTGGCCAGGATAGAGCACAACCTAGTCCTAACTATTTCAAATGCATGCTCTGATTGCAGCGACTTCCAATGGTCTTCAAGACCGGAGCGTCCGACTGCCAAAAAACATAGCACCCTCATTGGAAGGGGCATGTCACGAAGGACTTCGGGGAGGGGATCCTCTTCCGGAAGTGCTCTTGGATCAATAGTCTTTGAAGCATAGTTAAGTCACACAACAAAGATTCCCAAGTTTTCAAAGTGTACCTCGGTGGAATGGAATGAAGTCATGTCGTCAAACAGAGGAGTACGGATGGACTAAGGCAATTTCCATACTGACTTTGGAACAGGAGATGCGACATTTTATAACTAGAGAGAGCACAGCTGCTAGTCACACTCATTATTTCCGCGCTTAAGCGGAGTTTGTTACCTTGCGAAGCAAGGTTAGACTATTGGCATGGATGATTTTATGTGATTTCCAAATAGTTCAAAACAGTGGTAAATTCGCTGACCCGAAGGTTACAAAAACAACGATACGCAGTTGAGACTGTTGAAAACGATAGAACAATCAATTAATCAAGGGCGACGTCACAGAATAAAGACGAGTCTAGACACGGATTTTTCAAGTAAGCTTCAGTAGATGATAATCGCTTTTCGGACTTGCGAAGAGCTCGAACCAGAGGTCGTTGTCGATTTGTGGCATAAAACAAATAAATGTCATCTGCGGAGCAAGGTCTATTTCGGCAACGCCGAACCCTAGTATGATCAAACAAGTTGCTACATATGCGTCTAGGCAACGATAAACGATTTTAATTGGCTAACACAGTACGTTCCACTGGGAGGACTTCCAGGAGTTTACGTGATAGCGCTGCTGAATCAAAGGGCTGCCAGCCCAAGATCACAAATGCCCGGGTGTTCCCAATCTATATTGATACTATGCCTTCCTTCTCACGCACCACAATTCAATTGGCTGATTCCGGATTCCTGTAAAACACGAACTTTAAAAAATAACCCTTATTTAGTACTGACTTGCGTCATTAATTACAAGCGCTGATTCAGGCCTGCGGGAAGGAACAGTTATAGAACAAGTGTACGTATACGTAGCGGACAATCTGATCAATGAGTGTATCGATTTGAAGATGCGGCTGTAACGGGCCTCGAACAAAACTGGCCTCCGAGCCTTATCGTGAATCGAAGGATTTCAGGGAGGAGTTTCTCTTCCATAAGTGTTCTTTGATCAGTAGTCACATGTGACTTCAAAACACAACGTAGTAGTTCAGTCATATGATTAGGATTCGTAGTGTTTCGAAGCGCACCTCGGTGGAATGACATGCAGCCATGGTGTTGAAGGGGATTGTATTCTCATACTGAGTGGTAACAGCGACATTTTAAATTATTGAAATTGAAATTCCACTTAGTAGGGTCGTATGCCGAAGCAGAAACGATACAGCATCTGAAGTTCAGATGGATGGGGTCGTATGCCGAAGCAGAAACGATACAGCATCTGAAGCTAAGTTCAGATGGATGCTGTATCGTTTCTGGTCGATAGTGCTTACGTAACAGGAACAGAAAAACACAGTTTCGGCATCAGGAAATTGACGTCGGACGGTCGGTGCACCTGTGGGCTTACAAGCTTTAGCAACCTCCAAAAGGTAAATCACACCATTTGCGGGTTGTCTCTGCTGTGTAACTGCTGTATTTCTGAACTCTGCACTGCTGATTGGTGTTCAGTCTGCTAGTCACATCAATAAAGTTGCCCATTAATAATCATACTCATACTTGTTCTCTTATGTATCACAAGGGTTGCAATCCATCAAAGCGACTAGGAAAAAAAGACTATCGATAATACAGTATCGCTTCGATCCCACTCAACTATGGGAAGAACCACCGCCCCCACCATGATAGGATGCACCATTTCCAGGAAGTCCTTGCGTCTCCAAGTCCCTCCCATCGAGCGCCTCCTGAATCATCGAAATCGTGCTCTCCAAACTCCGGCGCCTCGTCGACGGACTCGTCATCGTCGTCCCAAGCGAAGCCTGCCGCCCATGTCTGCCCTTGAACGGGGTGCGCGGCGGAGGCGCCATCTGTCCACCACTCGGGAGACTGGGTAAGGACGGCAACGACCCCGATGACATGGAAGGGTCCATTACCCCGCCGGCACCAGTCGGAGACACAGGGGACTCGATGGAGTCTGCTGGGGTCGTTGGTAACGACCCAGATTGTGCTTGGGCCAGGTAGGCCTTTGCTTCTTCAGCGTCGAAAAGTTCTGGTGGGAGACGCTCGTTTTCGATGTCTGACTTCCGTCTGTAGGAGTATATGATGAACACCCAGAACATGTAGAGCAAAAGAAGTTGTACGTACGCGTCTTCAAAGCCAGAAATGGCATCTTTAATGCCCTCAGTACCCAACGCCAGCGTGCCATATGGTAGCTTGCTAGAACCAGATATGCTCTTGAGCTCTGAAACCTTCTCCGACTCCTCTCTGCGAGTGATTTGTCAGACTAGCACAATGTGTACACAAAGGTATCATACCGAAGCAGAGCAAACACACGCGCCATCCGTCCAACTGCAAGGATCTTGTTTTTGATGATCTTTCGCCTCTCCACTGCCTCTTCGGGGTGGGCGACTGGTGAAACCACACTTTCCTCATCAGACTCTTCGAGCTCTTCTTTGCTGCAAGTGTTTAGCACGGCAACAAGCATATCCGTGACTATATGCGCCACTCAGTTCTGAAATAGACGCTGTAAATGAACTCCGCAAACGTACTTTTTTCTCCCACAAAGGGCAAACTCCATGTAAACACGTCCATGAAATTAGGCAGCCAGTATGGATGGGGCGTGCAGTTAAACTGCCGAATGTTCATCACGTTGCTCTCGTACTTCAAGACGGCGGCTTTGTTGTTGTACACGTCGAGGTAGTTGGGAGCAGAAAAGATCGTCATGACAGAAGGAAAGCCCGTGCTTTTTGTCTTCCGGTACATGCGATATCTTCCGATCAACTACATGAGTACAATGAACGGCTGCACGATCAAAACATACCCGGCATCTTGCGCTTCGTGTGCACGAATGATCGAAAGAAGATTATTTCGCTCCAAGAACTGGCAGGCAGCTTGATAACTGCATGTCGACTATTAATTGCAGTACATCGGGCATCTGAGACGACTCACGTGAAAAAGTAGGAACAACCCCGGACGTGATTGTGCACGAAGCTTTCATTCATCTTCTCTTGTCCAAAGTCTTCTACAGGATCTGACCATAGAATATCGCACATCAATCCGTGTGTCGGAGGCTCGCGGAACCGGTCGATCTAGACACGATGTAAATGAAATGTTGCGTCATGGAAGATCCAGGAATGGACGTACCGCTCTAATATCATCCAAAGTGTTCAGCTCTGGTGAAAGACCACCGTGGATGCACAGGAATTGCTTGTTCATGACGGCAGCAAGGGGAAGGGCACAAAAGGAGTCCATGCAGGCATCATAGATACGCTCTGAGTATTTGTGCTTGCCTGAGTAGCGTTAGTAGCGATATCATTTAGAGATGGAGACTGGAACATACATTCGAGCTTGAAGGTGAAATAATCTGTGAGATGCCGGCATTCATGATTGCCACGGAGAAGGAAGAGGGTATCGGGATACCAGATCTTGAGCGACCATAGATACAACACACACTGTATGATGGGATGAGCTGGAGAAGGTCAAGAGCATTAATGCGGGCACACCTCTATACTGAAGTACCCCCGATCAACGTAATCCCCAAGGAAAAGGTACCGTGTGTCCGCTGGACTGCCACCAACTTCGAACAGTTTCATAAGGTCGTACTAGAGAGATAATCAGCAACGCATCAGCCAAACGAGTAGTTGAGAGCGCATACATATTGACCATGGATATCGCCACAAACTGAAAAGTGGTGAGAAGGTCGGTTGGTATGGGGTGACCACGGCAGACGACGAGCACACTCACCTGTGATTGGCGCGTCAACCTGCAAGACGTTGGGCTCCGCACGAAGGAGCGCAGTTGCCTTTTCCAAAATCCATATCGCCTGATCCTCGGTGACACGGCCTTCGCGGTAAAAGTGGTTCTTGAGGAACGCTATGTCAGGTTTGGTGGGATCTTGTCTGGAGAAAAACTGGGCATCTGTCGGAACGTTCATAGCTGGTGCTTGCACCTGAAATGAAAGCCTCAGCAGGCGGTTAAAATGAGGAACCGATGACGCGAGCGTACATCTTTGACGACCCGCTCTTGTGTGCTGATTGTGTTGCCATCTTCAAGTACGTGCTGCGTGAAGTCGATATCGGGCGGTGGCTTCTTGTGCTGGATCTGCTCAATTGCACGTTCAACGTGTGCTTGTGCGATGTGCATGATGACAGGAATTGAAGAAGATATCGGTCGCACACGGAGGGAAGGGAGTGTGCAAGAGACGCTCAGTGGCGGTGACTGGAGGGAATACCCCTGGGCCCACAGCTTCAGTTTTAACACAAAGTGTCTATTATTATTGCGATCAAGCTACGGCACACTACTGCGGTCCTAAATAACTGGAGTAATCAATGGGTGCATATCGTCCATCTCCTGTACAATGCAGTGTATTATGGACCGAAGTATACGCTCAGAACATGTTTTCCAACGTGGAAACCCAATAACGAAACAACATAGCTCGCAAATAGCGGTAACAGTGGGGCAAGCAATATTTCGGAGCGTATCAGGAATGGCAGAGCTGGAAAAAAAATTAGCGGTGAGACGGAAGATAAGACTTGCATACCACTTAGTCCGAGGTACACTCCGTAGATATACTGGGCAAACCTGTTGGTGAAATCAACGTTGAAATGACAAGTTATGTGGCGTTGACTCCAAGACTTGCCCTGCCAGATATAAGGTGTTGCCAATGAGGAGGCACACCCAATTGTCCTTTAACACTACAGGAAGAAGGAAGAGTTGCGCTAGATAAAGCGTTAGGTACAATGGGAAAAATGCGTTTGTGTGTACGTCGAACGCATATGCCCATTCGACTGAAGAGTCTGTAGGTGATGAATGAGAGGAAGGTGATACCAACACCCGGTTGGCGAAAAACCTGCGGCTGATGAGCCAAGTTCACGCCTTAGAGGAAGAATGACGAACCAAAGAAAAGTCGCACTCAGTACACCGACAAGGAGGTAATCTCGCAGTATCATCACAAAGGCCAACCGCGCCGCCTGCAGAGGGGAATACGAATACACAATAGACCATGCTATTGCAGCCACTGAGCGCCATCGAATATATGGTGAACAACTTCTCAATACAGATTGCATGGGTGAATCTCACCGAAGAGGCTTGCAAATAGCAGGATCAAGATTGCTGGATCATCTCTTGCCCAGGTGTTCTTGGTTTCTACAGTAAACGCATAAACGTCGGCTTCAGACCATGATATATTGACGTACGCTTGTGGTAGTACACGTTTCGATAACTAGTCGGGCGTTAACAAACCATAGCTATGTTCATATTGGAGGAGTTAGCTCACACTCTCTTGGGTGCCAAACAGAGATAAGACAGCTGCCAAAAGGCAAGTTCAAAGTCCTGCGGATCCAATATATCTCAGCACGTCTACCCAGAGCTTAACAGCGTGTGCTTCACACCATTTGCTGGAACCTGTGCAACCGTCGAAACATTAATGGCACGCGATTTGAGACAGACATGGGAGTGCCAGATAAATTGTGATTAGGATACGATGGAGAGGTTAAAGGAAGGATGGGCATGTCTGTACCGACTCGCGGGCGTCGAAAAAGAGTGCGATACGAAGACAGTTTGGACAGAAATATGATGAATGGCGGCTGAGAGGCTTTTACTGCGACGACCGACGTAGAAGGGTGATCGGAATCGGAATCGGAATCGGAACGACTTGTTGATGATTTGTAAGCGCTTTTCATGGCTGGCAAGAAGTCATTTCATGTTTACCGCTGTTCAACATACTGGCATGATAATCTAGCATAGCTTTAGCAACAGAATTTAAACTGTCTTGCTTCTCTTCCAAGACCGCGAATTGAACCGTCTCAGCAGTGACAATATCATGATATATATATCAATGTTTGCGGACTCATAAAAGCCAAACCAGCTGGAATGGGTTTCAAAGTTACCGATCCTCCGAGTCAGTGCTCGGCGGCGCCAAGATTACAGCCCAATTCTTTGATGGTAACGATCATCCACAAGAGATTCGACTCATCAGCAACAAGCGCGCTCTTGTCTTCGGTAGCTTTACCTCTGCCTTTCGTCTTGTGTGGGCAGGACCTAGTGGTAGCGGAGAATGTCATCAATATGGCGCGTTGTGACGCCATAGACCTTTGCAGAAAACTGCGAGCCATACAGAGATCAAAGATGCGACACAACCCTGGTCAGTGCATTGCACCAGTGAGTATACTGCAGAAGCAAAAGTAAAAGCATCGTCGTCGTGGGTGATATATGCGGTCGTAATCGCTCAGCGTCCAATGTACAAATAACCGCCATGTGGCTTCTGCATGAGACGCTGCAGCTTATCATTTCGATGAATTGAGTATCTCGGGATACAACAGATTGCGCACACCTCATACCCGGACAAGGCGAACTAACTCTATAAGATCAATCAGATCTCCTTCAAATGATTTCATACCTGTCGTGTGTACGAGCATGTGATTGCCAGAGTTGTGATCATTGACAACCACAATGCCAATGAAAGGCTAAATTATTTTGGTGACAAGTCTCTGTGAAGTTTCCGGGTGCTTGGACATAAATGCTGATGTGCCACGATGTCTGAGACCATGATGGAATGATTGATGTTGATATCCTTGTTGCCGCTGAATCAGTGATGGCGCAGCCTGTGTACGGGGTCTCACCTCGGCGGGGAGCGGGCGGGAATCGAAAATTGAGTCGGAGCTGTTGGGAGGTTCTGCTCGGCCAACTTTGGAAACGCATTTCTGTCGTTAGTTCATCACTCTTCTCGTCCGCGCCATGGTGGAAGATGAAACAGAAGTTCTAGACTGGGGAAATGAGGAGGAAGACCGGGGAACTTCGGAGAATGATCCAAGTCTCGCCGCCGAGGACGCAGAAGATGCTGTGTCGCTTGGAGGTGACGAGGACGACGAATTTCTGACTTACCAGTCTCGCGTTTCACAGGGCGCCGCTCAGCGCACACAGTCTCCTTCGAAGACTGCGAATCACTCTGAAAAAAATCAGGAGGTTACAGTTCTTGGCGCTAATGCTCGGGGCAAAGCTCCTGAGCATGATAGGCCCAGGACGCCGGCAAGACCTCCTCAGGAAGCGCAGACTGTCACCGAGCCATCGCCAGCCCTCCATCGCCAGCTGTCGTTTGGGAAACTTACTCATGCGCTTCCTCCCAAACCAATAGTGTCTTCAGTTCCATTTGTGCATCCTTCTCATCCGTCCATCATTGAAGCTACAGCTATGGCGGCTCGCGTCGACCGGGACAAGAAAAATGGCATTGTCCCCAAGCCCACGACATTTGAACCAGGGGATGCACTTCCCCCAGATTGGGAGGTTAGGCATCCCAGAAATGGCCGCGGTGTCTATTATTATAACTCTCGCACCAAGGAATCGACCTGGACGCGTCCTGGCAGCTCCCCGCCTGCTCGTGATCGGCGCGTTGTTGAGGAAACCCGGGATATCGTTGTTATCACCAAGACTGATGATTCCCTGACCTCCCGTATAGGCCGGTCAGATGCTGGTACCATCTTGTCCTATGATGATCGACACTACCGTCCTGGAGAAAGTACTCGCCGGGACGAGCGACCGCCAACGCAATCTTATGGTGGTCAAAACGACTCTTTCTTGGCATCAAACAGAGCCAATGCAGAACGGTCCCTTTCGCCGCCTGCACGTCACCGCACAGATGACCGTGCTCCGCCTTCTCGTCGTCAGCGGTCGCCTTCAGCCAATGGGGACCAGAATAGGGGCAGATCATCCACAAAGGACATTGTGCGGCCCGGCTCACCTATAGCAGATGTAGACCGCGTTTGGGTCGCACCTCGGGTTCCATCGCCTGTTGATCGGTCAGCGCCACACGAAGGGAAACATCGTGAAGCCGAGCAACCTCCTCACAAAGAGCGCGAGCGTCGCGAGACTCCTCGCGATGCCGACAGAATGTCGACAACAAGTACGTTATCTACATCATCCCCTATCATCATCCCTCGTCGGCGTATCTGCTCCTCCTGGGGTACAGGGCGCAATGCCTTGGCTGCATCCCGCGCAACCTCGAGAGTTGAGCTGCGCAGTACCATATTTCGTTCTTTTGTATTCGACTTCTTCCTCGCATGGACACACGGACGCTCATCATGGATCCCTATCTTCTTCCTCCTTTTCCCCCTATCCTTATATCTATCCTCCTCTTTTTTCTTTTCTCCTTTGTTATTATCTAGGACCCAGATCGCCTATCAGTCACAGTCGTGACGCTCAGTATCCGCCTACATTGCCGTCTTCGAACGATACCGACATTGCGCGCAATGAGTTGTCGTCCGCAGCAAGGCAGAAAAGTCGCTTTACTCAAGCGCCTTCTGCCCAAATAGACCAACGAACTCCAGGTTTACCCGACAAGCCCTCGCGAGATTTGCGCCCTCAAGCCAGGTCGCCGAGCGCAGATGGTACTCGGTCTCGTCATCGAACAAGTGATCGTCATAAAGCTGATGCAAGAGCTCACGAAAGCCCGGACATGGCGCCTCAGACGTTGCCCCAAGCTCCGCAGGAGCAGTTGGCACCCCCACCCCCATCCCCTCCAATCGAACGTACGTATTCTTCACCCATCCGCTCTTCCTTCCTCATGCCAACGTCGTCTGCCATTCGCGTGCATCTCTCGCTTGTTCAGGCTCTCGAAAACGGATACCTTTGCCACCACAACGTGACAGCTTCCAGGAGGGTGCACGTGGCAGAACAGATACTGAGTATCGCTCGCCACCGTCGACCACTCGTGACAGCGCTCCGGCTTCTCGGTTGATTAACAACGATGCACGCATTCCTTCGGGTCCACGCCTGTCTCCTTTGGAGATGTCAAGAGAAAACAGACCCTCTGACGCCAGAGGGCCTCGGCAAGCGCCTTCCAGCTCTGCGCTTCACCCGAATTCTCAGACAGACACTCATGCTCACCATGAGTCTAGGGACAAACGAGACAAAGATCAGATGGATGTTGATGACCATCCTCCAGCTAGTATCACTAAGTCCACTGAACCTTCTCGACAGCTTGCGACCAGCCAGCGCTATCGAGAGGACCGTGACGGTTCCGCTCCTAAGCGTCCTCGGGCGATGATGGACGATGTTGAGATGCCTGCACGACGGAGATCTCCAGGTAGGCACTTGCACCGCTACATTTACTTACGTGAAATAACTTGGAAATAGATCGCTCTCCCAAACTGTCGCGTTCTGAATGGAAAGAACCTCATCGCACAGCGCGCGATGATATATCGCGCGCTGCGCCCTCACGGGATGAACGTCGTGCCCCTCCTGAATCATCGACTCGGACTTCTGTTGGTTTTTTTTTCAATGTCTACTATCCAGTCTCTAAATTGAGATTTACAGCGCGAAACTGCTCGTCGTCAGGTTGATATGTCAAGGCCGCCTCCTAGCGCCCCAACCCCAAAGCTTTCTGGAACAAACAGTATGCCGATTGGTGGTCGGGGTAATCGTTTTGGCGGCTCTGCGTCAATTTCACCGCATCCGCCGCTACCGTCTGCGCCTTTCCCGCCTCCAGCCAGTTCTGCTTCATGGCGGGGCACTCATTTGTCTGGAAGTAACGCGCAGCCTGTGGTTTCCCGCCCTGTTCGTCCACTCACTGGTGCCAAAGACAGTCACGAGCGACCGGTATGTTTCACATGAGTGTCGTTGTGATTGCTGTCCCTTACTTACACTCACAGCCCCATCTCGATGGTGCCCATGACAGAGATCGTTCAACTAAGATCCCTGCTGATTCACGTCGGCAAACTGAGCGTGTAGTTTCACCTGTACGCCCTCTGTTGTGTGGAAATGAACTGGCCTAATAAGAAGTTTATTTTACAGCTCCTTCCGCGCAAGCCTCTCTCTGTGCCTGACCCACCTGTGAATGTGCCAAACAATGCTGATTTACCATCACGACTAGGCGCACGTCCGGCAAGAGTGAGTCATTAAGCAAAGTCATTGGAGCTTGACTGACTCTGGCACTTAAGACTCGCTTTGGACCTCCAGTTCTGGAACCTGAGGGGAAACCACATCTCAACAGCAGTGGTCAGACGCCTGAGAGTCCTCAGTCCCATCAACATGATGATCGCGCTACCCCTCCTCCGCTTTCCAGGGACTCCTCCATGACGTCGGTCCGCGATACTGCTCATCCGTCACAACAATCCAGGCATGACGAGGACGTCTCTCCTCGTGCTCATCGGCAGACTGAACCGCGGTTGCATGCGCCTGAGAGAAAGGAGGAAAAGGATTTGCCTGCACACCCACGTAGCAGCGGTCGCAACGATCGTCACGACCATGGTCCCCCTTCACTGGATTATAGTAAGGAAAGGCGTGTTGACGAATCTAAATGGTCCAGATCACGAGATCTGCCTTCGCATGAGTCCTCCCGCCACGCCGATGTGGAGCCCTTGCCCTCCGGGCAGCATGCCACAAACGGCGATGGGTCGCACCAATCTCTTGCGCCCGCTATGCATCCGGAGCGTGTACGGCTTATGCAGGGTAACCTTCCGCACTCTCTACCTCCTCGCCCCGACACAGAACCAAGACGTCCTCGTTCAACTCGCCCGCGTCATGACTCTACGCCTTGGGCACCCTCTGGTTCACGCTCCAACCAGCCTGAGATTCCCTTCACTGAAGACCGCCTCGACCGACCTTCCAACTACCGCGGAAGCTCTCTAATTGATCGGTTGGCTGTCGATGACGGACAATCATCTTTTTCATTGAGAGATCGCGTAAAGGTCCCCATGAAGCGGCCTCAGGATGACATTGGTGTGAATGAAGCGTTGATGGATGTAGACGATGGGCAAGATGGCTCCAAGCGGAGCAGGAGGCGAGGAGGGAAGCTCAAGAAGCCGAGGCGTGTGGCATGATGTCCTAGTATCCGATTTCATTCTTTTTTGTTCAACCTTTTGTCTGCTTTCGATGATGCATTCCATTGGACAAAGTATCAGCAGTACAATCTCGTCTTGTTATGTCTCTAGTGATTATGGTTAATCTTCTCTTGGTTCGGCATCTTTTGCAAGCTATTCTCGATATATGAGATAAGGGTTAGTCGGTCGATATGAAGCTTACTGCACCTGTATAAAGTTGTCGTGTTCCCAATGCATTTGAACAAAGTCCAGATCGTGACGCGGCATCAACCATTCCAGAATTAGGAAGAACAAGCAATCCACCACAAGGATAATTGTGTAGATTGGTCCTGCAAACGGCCCCAGTTCCATAGTTCTATGACATCTCAGCTATGGTCTATGAGCATGAATTTGTGCAAAGCTACCTTTGCATCCGAGTCCAGAGATCCTTCTCCTCAGACTTGACGACAGCGTCATACACAATCTCGGTTCGTTCTGCGACGTCTCGCCAGTTGTAAAAGTTCTTTACCCTTCGATGAGCTTCTATGGGGTCATGCTGGCCTTTCGAAACGATCGCGATAGCCTCGGACAGCGCACGGAACAAATCTGAGAATTTGACACAGTGAAAAGGTAGTCCAGGAATGACATATGCGCATTGCGCAGCGTCCCACACGTACCATCTTCCTCTGGTTTCGCAAACGATATCATATCATGAGGTAGAATCTCCGGAACTCCGCCTACTCGTGTCGAGACCACATAAAGACCCGCACATGCAGCTTCCAAAATGGCGATCCCAAACGACTCCGTCAGCGATGTGTTCAGAAATATGGATCCTCGCACGAGAACCTGTAGAGATGTGTATGAATCATGACCATGGGAGTTAAGTTTGTTCCTGTCCACTCACGTCTCGCACGTCGCGATGTCGAACTGGACCGAGGAGCTCTATGCGGTCTTGGAGGAGATGCCGTTCTCGGACTTGTAACAGGTCGTTCAGCTTGGGTCCGTCTCCACCTGAGCCAGCGAATTAGGTTGGGACGATGCTGGGGATGGAGCGACTTGCCTACTATGAAATTGACGTTAGGAAAAGCGGAGCATATTCGGGGCGCGGTGGCAACCAGTAAGTCGATGCCTTTACGATACGCCAGACGAGACAAAACTACGATATAGACTGGGAAAAAATCAGCTGTTTCCTTCGATCACGTCGACGCGGAAGAACTTACTAGTTTCTGACGAGACCGGGTTGGTAGCTGGAGTAAACTGCTCCGCAACCAAAGCGTTTGGAATCACATAAACATTTTGTCGGACGACAAGTGCAGAGGAATCATCAGACTTCTCAAACAACTGTCCACGAAGAACAGTATTTTCCCTTCTGATTCATGGTCACGAGAGAATTGCGATTATGAGGGAGGATCACCTACCCAGTGTGCGAGACACAAATCACAGCGTCGACATTTTTGAGAGCGGCCGCGAGTAGTTTGTTGGTTAATATGCTCGCTGCATCTTCAAACCCAAAAAGACTGTGATCGGTGAATACCGTGCGCACGCCAAGATGGTGCGCGTGGAGAATAGCCTCCTGGCCCAGAGATGATAAACTTGCATGTGCATGAATCAAGTGAATATGCTCGCGTGCAATGATGACGCGGAAATATGGCAAAAACGTAAAATAGTTCGGAAGTGTGGCGGAGGAGGCGATGGTAGGAAATGGTATGTAGTATACCTTCAAGCCTGGCAGAAGCCAGCGAACGCCCACTCTGTCTGGAGGATGGCTGTGTGTAACTACGATCACCTGCAAATTTTTCATTTTAGATAAACGACATTGCTGAGAACGTCGAAGGAAGTTTGCAAAATTCGTGCCTTGTGACCACGACGGATGAGATTTGCACTGAGCATGAATATGTGGTTTTCCACTCCTCCCACGTTGGGGTGGAAGAAATCAGATATCATCCTGAATGATGCAGCATTTAGAAAGTGTTTCCTCCAATACAAAATACATACGCAATGGCGAGAGGCTCATTATTCATTTCGTTGCGAGTCTTGCGACAACCGTGACGCGGCTGCTTCAGAGTTACGAAGAGAAAAAAGTGGCTCGACCCAGGATCGAACTGGGAACCTTCTGTGCACAAGTTAATGTGAGACAGAAATCATAACCATTAGACCATCGAACCATTCATGATGTACAACCACGTGTGGCGTGATAATCACTTGAAGGCATTCGGTCAGCAACGGGCACCGGGACCCTGTCATTACCGGTCGGCAAAAGAGGACCTCCGAAAGTGTGAGTACATGTCATCCTTCGACAGCCGCAGAGACCAGCTGGGTGTATGGCTGATCTATCATCACAAAATAGTCGCGTCTCTGTCAGTTCGAGACTAATTTGGAATGATCAAAACGTTCCAGAACTTATGCAGACCAAGGGCTATGTCATGTCTTCCGGCTGTTAAGTCAGAATGGCAAGGGCACTAATCCATCTTCACTCTTCTCTTTGACGCGTTAATGACCACTGATCAAAGAGCACTTGCTGAAGAGGAACCCCTCCCGGAGGCCCTTCGTGACATATCCTTGCCAATGAGCGTACTATGCTTTTTTGCAGTTGGACGCCCTGATCTCAAAGACCATTGGAAGTCACTGCAATCAGAGCAAGCGTTCGAAGTCTTCAGGGGTATGTTATGCTCTGTCCTGGGTAACACTATCACCGCAGTAAGCTATCCAACTCCCTGCGAGCTGAAGCCAACGCTGACATACTACACATCAGGCAGGTGTCATCCTCGCTACAAGTGGTGTATTCGTCACTACAGGCTCTCCTGTTACCTTTTTGACTATTCATCGCCTGCTCCCTATTTTCTGCTCTTTTCATCGCTCATGTTGGCCATGATCGCAATGTTGACATCTGGCCTGAACATGTTTCGTTGGTTGTACACCGACCGGCAGTGGACTCAAGAAGTGAGGGCCATTTTTTACCAATTGTACCGACTGACCTAGGTATCATCAGCAACTGAAACCAGGCGGCTACTTCGTCGTATCCTACTTGTTTTCAATAGTCACGCCCGTGTTTTCTGTCGCCTGGTCCCTGAATTGTTTTGTATTTGGTGAATTGCTACTCAATTCGATGATCTCTCTGCCCCCCTCATGAATTTCGTCCCCAGCGATGTTAATAGCGGGCTTTCGCTCCCAAAGCACGATCTGTCACGCCCTCACTGCGCTCTGACTGATCATGTATAATGCCAACATCGGGACATATTGGCAGAATTTATGTGGAAGTATACGACGAGCCTCAAATCACTCTGATCTATGTGGTTATCGCCCGGATCTTTCTCTCACCCACGATGTCGAGTTCGGCGTAGCTTGCACATCCTCACTCGTACGTATAGTCTTTATTTTCACGCGCCCACCACTCCCTTGTATTTTACACTGCAATTCGCACTCCATGGTTACTTTTTGCATTCATACAGCATTCTATGTCAAATCAATGATCGGATTCATAAGCAGTTATCGATTTATCACCTTGCGTCCTACCCTGACATGGTTTGGTAACCTATCCCTCCGGTGTTAGTAAACCACCCTCAAGAGTTCGAGCGTTAAAAAATTACGATGGGCCGGTGTTTCAGCGATACCGTTAGCATCACCAATTTCGTCATTAAGCTACGTCAGAAAATGATGCGATGAGCGTGAAAACTTCAAAAACGTGCAGCAGACCTGTGCCCCTAACTTTACCCACACTTCCTAGCGAAGTCTGCCCAGACTTCACACAGATAGGATGTTTCCTATGTCTTCCATCACTTGTGCGGCCCTATATGTTAATATCGGATCACAATTGGATTGGCGGTCTTAGCTAAGTTTTAAAATATTTTTTCTCCTCAGGTTCAACAGCGGTTGGTAAGTATCGAAGTTGTAAAGCTCCTCCAATAATAATATGCGGCATATGGGGCCATGGGCTAGGGTTAGTGGAAGAAGGAGGAAGTAAGCTTGAGCAATCTGATTACTCTAGATCTATAATAATTTTAGAATTGAGCATCCCTATTTAAGCAGGAAGAGGTACCTCCACAGTGTCCACACGTAATTTTAAAATTAAATAGGGCCAGACAGTACAGCGCTGTGAGGCGCGGATCGCCCGGACTGACAAGCTTGACTACCTTCTTCTGACACCACGACACTCGGAAATTATAATGTATTGGTGGCAGTGAATTGTGAGTAACTAAAAAAAATTGCGGGGAATGTACTTCAAGCTTCAAGGGTCGTTGTCATTCCGATCGCCACACGGCCGTGCGGGATTTGTTCAAGTTTCTGATAGTACACACAGCACATATAAACACTCTTCTTAAGTCAGAATGACTCAGATGAGTGCACCAATCGCGACTTCGCTCTTTTCTTTCACGCCATGGCCACATTCAATTCTACTGAGGTGCGCTTTCAAATGTAGAAAGGCTTGCCGCTGCATGACTGAATTACGCTGGGCTTTCAAGTTATATGTGACTTCTCATCAAAGAGCACCTACTGAAGATGAACCCCTCCCAGAAGCCCTTCGTGATATGTCCCTCTTAATGAAGGTACTCTGTGTTTGTGCGCTGGGACGTCCCGATCTTCAACATCAGGCATTTGACCAGAATTTGATAATCATTTAGCTAGCTTTATTTAATGAATAATATGAATAATATGCATCACAATTGTAGACCACATGATAAAAGAATAGATAGGCAGGTTATGTAGGTGAAATCTGCCAAAGCTGTAATGTTGACGTGTCTATGGTATCAAGTTGTGATCTACTAACATACTGGTGTGTTGTTATCAGATGTGACAGTGTGCTCTGGTGTGACATTGGTTCACCATGGTCCATCGTAATGTTGATATTCTACCATACATATCTAGTGTTAGATAGGCAGGGTCCAGTGGCCAAAGCTACAATTGCTAACAGCATGCTTTGGTGTGACATTGGTTTGCCGCCATCTATCGTGGTGTTGATTTTCTACCGTCAATATCTAGCTTTAGATAGGCAGCTTCCAGTGGGCAAAGCTACAATTGCTAACAGTGTGCTTTGGTGCGACATTGGTTCACCGCCATCTATCGTGGTGTTGATTTTCTACCATCAATATCTAGCTTTAGATAGGCAGCTTCCAGTGGCCAAAGCTACAATTGCTAACAGTGTGCTTTGGTGCGACATTGGTTCACCACCATCTATCGTAATGATGATATTCTACCGTCAATATCTAGCTTTAGATAGGCAGCTTCCAGTGGCCAAAGCTACAATTGCTAACAGTGTGCTTTGGTGCGACATTGGTTCACCACCGTCTATCGTAATGATGATATTCTACCGTCAATATCTAGCTTTAGATAGGCAGCTTCCAGTGGCCAAAGCTACAATTGCTAACAGTGTGCTTTGGTGCGACATTGGTTCACCGCCGTCTATCGTGGTGTTGATTTTCTACCATCAATATCTAGCTTTAGATAGGCAGCTTCCAGCGGCCAACACTACAATTGCTAACAGCATGCTTTGGTGCGATATTGGTTCACCGCCGTCTATCGTGGTGTTGATTTTCTACCGTCAATATCTAGCTTTAGATAGGCAGCTTCCAGTGGCCAAAGCTACAATTGCTAACAGTGTGCTCTGGCGTGACATTGGTTCACCGCCGTCTATCGTAATGATGGTATTCTACCGTACACGTCTAGCGTTAGATAGGCAGGGTCCAGAGGCCAACACTACAATTGCTAACAGCATGCTTTGGTGCGATATTGGTTCACCGCCGTCTATCGTAATGATGATATTCTACCGTACACGTCTAGCGTTAGATAGGCAGGGTCCAGCGGCCAACACTACAATTGCTAACAGCATGCTTTGGTGCGATATTGGTTCACCGCCGTCTATCGTAATGATGATATTCTACCGTACACGTCTAGCGTTAGATAGGCAGGGTCCAGCGGCCAACACTACAATTGCTAACAGCATGCTTTGGTGCGATATTGGTTCACCGCCGTCTATCGTAATGATGATATTCTACCGTACACGTCTAGCGTTAGATAGGCAGGGTCCAGCGGCCAACACTACAATTGCTAACAGCATGCTTTGGTGCGACATTGGTTCACTGCCATCTATCATAATGATGATATTCTACTGTACACGTCTAGCGTTAGATAGGCAGTGCCCAGTGGCCAAATATATAATCACTGACAATGTGCTAGGGGATGATATTGAACCATGATAGCATATCATGATGGCGGGGTTCTATCAAGCATGTCTATGCATCAACAGTGTGCTGGCATTTGACACCGAGCTATCACATTGTAGCACCCTGGTGGAATTCTGTAAAATATGTCTAGCTTTAGATAGGTAGCTTACAATGGCAGTATCTGCTATCATCAGCAGTGTGCTGACATTTGACACTGAGCTATCATGCTATAGGAAGTAGTTGCTATTTTGTCAAAGATACATATTTTTACAATGATAGCCTGTGATGGTGATATCACATCAAGAAGATGCCCGGTTATCTTACTGTAGCAAGATGCTCATGTCTTGTCAGCCATGCACATGATTGCAAGGATGGCTTCTGATGGCGCCATCAATAACAGCCTATCTGGGTGCGATACCAAGTTATCTCATATTAGCACGTCAATGATCATATGCACAAATTCCAATAAAGATTTCATGTGTGGTATTTGACTCTATGGAAAGACTATTTATTGATGAATTACGAACTATTGACTACAAGGCATATAGAACAGCATAACATTATGAGACAACGAATCAATCAGCGTTAGCATCAGCGCGTGCACGAAGGGCAGCGCGTTTTTCCCGAATTTTGGATAGCGCGCTGTTTTTGCTGATACTCCGCTCTGAAGAGGAGGAATTGGGAAAAATGCGACTGTAAGGTGTTAATGTAGAGCTCGAAGATGAAGAAATATGATACGAACCGTGTCCACCACGTCATCAGGTCACTTACTTCCTCAATTTCCTCAGGGTCCTCCAACAGGTCAAGAATACTATGATAAAAATTTTCTGAGTCCGTAACAGTGTCCATGCGTGAAAAAACAGATGAGGAGCTCAACGCGAACCGAACCTGGAGGATTAATCAGTAGGAGCGCACCATTACGAATGGTTTAGCTCACCTGTGTCGCAATGTAGGCCAGAGAACCTTTTGTGACAGATTTCATACCATGGAGGTATGCATTACCAGAGCGCGTGGCTTTCGGTTCCTTCTCCACGGAGCTTGGAGATGTAAAAACGTGTTTGAAACCCTGGAAGGGAAATAGAATTGAGCAAGAACTTGACCGCTAATAGTGAACTTACGCAAACGAGCAGCTCGCTCCTCATTAAACCGTGCCATGGAGCTTCGGGATCGTAAATATACCCAAAATATAAAAACATAGGCCATTGGTCACCACGGACCGCTGTTTCGCCGCTTTTAAGACTCTGTTTGGTTCTGGGGACTGTTATGACAGCGAATTTATTAAATATCGCAAAGGCTTACTCTGGATTTGACCAATCAAGGCCTGCGGGGCAGAGTAAGGCACCGGTCACTTCATGGTTGAACCCACGGTCGGACTTGACGTTTCGAGAGAGGGGCGGTATGAGCGGCTGTCCTCTTGGCACAAGCCATTCGAGTATGGCAGACTTGAGGGTCTTGGTGTCATCGCCCCGCGCACCAGACGCTCCTTTGCCCATCTAGGAGAACGTGACTACTGATTCACCTTTGAACATGAATGACTTACCAATTCTCCGACGTGAATGACATCCTCCTCCTCGCCAGCCGTCAGCCGCTCTAAAAGACCAGGGTAGGAGTCTATAAGTTCCAAGAATACCCTGTGTTCCCGCCGAACGCTAACATCAAACTGTAAGACACCTGATATTCAACCATGACAATTCCACTTACTCCGCTGGGTAATCATCTATCGGAGAGTCTTGTAATTCTTCTAGCCGGAGTATGCCTCCAGTCAGGAGAGAAGGAATAATTGCAAAGCGCAAATACAGTCCGCCCAAAATGCCGACCATGAAGCACAAGGGGATTTGACGAGTTACTAATCAGGACAAGTCAGGAAGGGTGCATTTCAGCACGTGAAACATCACTTACGCCTTTTTGCGTGGGCCCATGCGAAGTGCCGAACCAGCACGTTTGCGCGAAGAACTGCTAGGAGAAGGATCATTCTCGTCACCACTCATACTGGGTTGGGGACAAATTCGAATCTGATATGAGCAACAAATGAGAATTTATATGTTCGAGCGCGCCATCAAGATCGAAACGAGAGGGAGCTGTGACACCCTGTGCCATCAGAATCAGGATACGAGTGGAGTGACGTCCTAGACGCCATCAGGATCCGAGCGGAGTGACGTCCTAGACGCCATCAGGATCCAACCGAGACTGAACCCTGTCGTCCTGGCGCTATAAATGGTTTGGATGGCGCATTACGACACCTCCCAGTGTCGTGAAACTGGCCCGCAAATTATATGTATATATAGGGTATGAGAACCGGCACTGTTGCAGCTACAATCAGCAACAATTCCCATATCATGCAAAGCAACGCACAGGTAGAACATCAGACACCAGGCTCGCTCTCTCAGCAGCATTTGCGACAATGTATTCTCGTTGGAACTACTGTTACCCTCAGGCAAGTCCTTCAGTATTGCACGTAGTACAAAACTCATACAAGATTCACTTACAGCTTCCCAATTTGCTCGGTGCATTTGCATAGTAGCTCTGATGTCGGCACTGATTGCAAGTAAGTGATAAAATTACAGAAAAACTCAGAACAAGACTTACCGTGCAAGG